GGAAGTGTTCATCTTAAGCCACGTTACGTCTCCATGTGGAAGTGTTCATCTTAAGCCATACATAACATTATAGATTTTGCGGTCGAAGTGTACGCAACGCAATCGTTTAAAATTTTGAATAGGTAGAATCCCCTGCCATAAGGAAGAAAAAAAACGACAGAAGCTACCTATTTTTTACTGCGGCCATTGATTCAGGAGATGTGATTTGTACACGAAATTCGTTGATGTTAAGTAAGAAGTAGAGAGAAGGAGAGGGAGAGAGAGATAGGAAGTGGCCGCAGTCCGAAATCAGCAACTGTCTTTGGGAACAAGCCTTCACCAAAGCTAGGATCATGCACCAATCGTAACCTAAGTGGATTGTATGAACGCGGTTATCCTGACTTGATGGTTCACGCTCTTAACTACATGCCTATTCCTTTAATCTACGTGACTCTCCTTCTGTTGTCATTTAAATTTGATAAAAATTCTTAAGCATTATCCATATTCTCTTTGTCAGGCAGATGGTCCACCTTGAAGATTCTTAAATTGATGCGAAAATTTTTACACGCAGATAAAAAGACTTTTCTACAATAGCTTTTTACTAAATTATTAACATTTATATTGAACATAGTTACGTACCAACTAATAAAAAAAGATGAAATCTATTGAGTTAAGTAAGAAATGCATGAATGTATAAAATAATTAGTTTTTTTTTTCTTGCTACTCAATTCCTATTCGTTACGTCACGGGAAGTAAATCTAATAACTCGGGAAAGTGCGCTATATTCTGTGTAAATTTTTTTTTGCATACCAGTCATTGTTTTTTCATTACACGCAATTACATCTACAACTGATGTATCCCTTACAAATTTAGCGCATTGCTCGGCACTTATTAGTGCTAACACAACTGTCCATGCAGGACAGATATATTCTTCACCTTGTTAAAATAGCCGCATAAGGAGAAACCAGATAGCTATGAATGTGATTAGCATTCTCCAAAAAAGGAATCCCTATCGTTTTTCTGTTGAAGGCGCTTAATACATCACTCAATTAAAAGTAGGATGACATACGGACATACTGTAAGTTATAAACTGATGATCGTAAAATGTCATAGAATTGTGATATATGTCTTTTAAAGATTGGTACTATCTAAAAGTTATATTGTGTCGTCTATAATGCCGATGCTTATATGTCATCCTACGAATTTATTGAATGAAGTGTTATTTTCTCGCCTTATTTCAAAATTATAATATATCAAAAAATTTTGACACATTTCGAAATATGGTACTATCTAAAAGCCATATGGTTTCATCTATAGTGCTGACTCGCCTATGAATTTTTGAGTGAGGTGTTATTTTCTTATTTTCGATAAAATGGCTACACAATAAAGCGCCACGGCGTCATAAAGCGTGATCTCTGGGGCACGTAGCTAAAACTATTTTCAGTTTAATCGACCGGACGCACTAACAAAACTTCAGGTTTGATTTATATCGCAATCGATAGCGAGAATATATTAAAGCTAATCAGTTAATCAGTAATAATAAAAATTATGGGCCTTTTCAATCTATCAGTATTCACAATAATCAGACACAATGAAACAACGAACAACGAACAAATTCTGTAGCGCTATCGACATTCAGCGTTTGTCCTATAGGGCACATATTAACATTTTAATAATTGACGTAAGTCTTAGAGACCCTTATACAGAAATTCTTTCCGTTCCAATATATACTTATGAATATTACAAATTAAACGACAAAAGACAGTTTGTTCTCATCTTTTGTCCTTCCACGACTTTGTTGTTCTCTCGCTAGTAATTTTCCTTTAAGTATTTACCTAACCAGATATAAAGTTAGTAAAGTGTAATTGAATGCAATTAAAAGAACAACGAATACAATGTTTATAATTAAGAAAACCTTACGGACATAAGCACTTTCACTTTTGTTCTTAACAAAACAATGCATAAAATAAAAGAAAATTATGTTCGGCTTTGGCTGAATGTTTTACATACGCCACTTTTATCAAAAAATGTATATTTTCTCTACTTTATACCATAGGGTGGGCATGGTTAGGATTTATGGATTTTTTCTAGGCCCATCTATAGAATACATGGAAACATTTTTATCGTTGCACTTGTCATAGTTTCTTAATTCTGCAATCCAAGAAGTTTGTGATATTATGTGGGCGTATCCTTGAACCGATTTAACCCATTTTCATTATGAAATTACTCGCACGAACTTTGAATGTTTTTGCGCCATTTTCAATTTTCGGACTGAGAGAACTTTTACCTTACAAAGATTCAAAGAGATAGAAGGACGAACGGACAGACATATTTAGAATGATCTAAAGTACATATACAATACTAATTTATAGCAACTCTGAAATTTCTTTTTAAGTGTTGCAAACGTTTTGATAAATTGAATATACTCAGGCCTTACATCCTTTAATTATTGGTTTAAAAATATCCTATACCTATAACCTGTTTAAAAAAACATTTCCATTTAAGCTTATATATGCAATAAATTTTATAATCAATTTAATGTGTGTACAGAGCTTCTGACATCTGAGCATAGAGAGGAGAATAAATGCTAAGCTGAAAAGCGTAAGAGACAAGACAAGAGACAGAGAGAGAGAAAGAGAGAGAGAGAGAATGGGAAAGCATGTGATTCTTTTTATTAAAGTTTATAGAACATTTCCATATAGCTTTACTTTAAACATTCACTAACAACAACAACCTATCATACAGATGGGTACTCATTCAACCAAAGCGTATTCGTTCGGACGTACAGTTCAGTTGCTAAACAACCCTTGTATTTAACGGTATATGTTTAGTACGAAAAAGAAGCAGAAAAAAGCCAAAAAAAAAAAGAAAAAACAAACAAATACCAAAAAAAAAAAAGTCAAGCTCATCATCAACTTTACTGTATACTTTACTTTAATCAAGTGATTTTAGAGGTTTAAGTCTCCGTTTAGGTGCTAAATAAATAATCTTCTATTGTTTTCGCTTACTATGCACGTGTTACAGCAAAACGAGATTTTTTCGAATTACCTTAAAACAGAGAAGCACTTGAAATAGTATTTAAAAAATACAAAAAAAAAAAAAGGAAAATTAATCAATTCTTTAACGACATTATAAAAAAAAAAAAAAAAAAAAAAACATTCAATTTTAATAAATGACTACCTAGAGACAATAAATCTGTTTAAAAAGCAATAACAATAAGTTTTGCGTGTTTTCGTTAACATTTGATATGTTGGAGGACAACTAGTATCGTCACATTACCGATATAAATGCATGTTTCCCTAAGTCGCCTCAAGCGTGTAAATTTAAACAACTGTTTGTCAATTGTCTTCGAATCCGTTTAAAAAACGAACTTTTTATATCGAAAAATTCAAATTTAAAATTTTATTCTTCACTTCCTTTTGCATATAAATTGTACGAAACTTAAGACTTTCGATAAATTAAAATCTTTTGCAGAGAAACTATGGCTTTCGAGTTATCACTAACGCAACAAGTACGCTTTGCAGTCAAGTAAGTAATGATTAACTAAATTATTATATATCTATGTAATAAAAAAAAAAAAACTCACAGCTTCTTCTATGGAAGTTGCTTACAGTGTTAGAAGCCACCAGTACTTAATTAGAAATAACTTACCTAAATTAAGCCATAAGTACTTTTTTCTTTACCAAGCGACGAAGAATTTTGAGAAAAAAAATCCAAGAAAGTTAGAAGTCATTTGTATTTAATTAGAACCGGCTTATCTTCTTTTAGGAAACAAATGATTTTTGAGTGAGTTATTGGCAAGTGATTAGCCGAACGAGTAAAAATCTTGAAAATTGAAAAAAATTCTTACGGGGTTTCCATAAAAAGGTGCTTACCTTTTTAAAAGTTAGCAACACTTTATTAGAACTCGTCCATATCTATTGGGAGATCACTGCTTTTGGAATGATCTTCAGCAAGTGATTAACTGAATATAGAAAAATGCCTAAAACAAAAAAAAGATTCTGACAGCATTTTTTAAGAGAGTTGGGTGCAGTTTTAGAAGTCACCGGTAGCTCATTAGAAGTAGCTTAACCCCATTGAGAAACCCATTACTTTTTTGATTATGATACTTTACCGACAGATTAACTGAAATGTGAGAATGCCGAACAAGGAAAGGAATTATCACAACGCTAACGAAAGAAGTCGCTTATTGCTTTAGAAGTTACCAGGATTTAGTTAGTTAGATGGAGCTTGCTAATCTCATTAAGGAGAGCAATACTTTTCGAATGGTTCTTTAAAAAGTGATTAACCGCATAGGGAGGAACTATTTAACTGTTTTATCTCTTTTGGTTACAATTTACATTCAGACGAACTAAACACTACTTTTTCTCAGATCAATGACTTAAAACAAAGCTATGTAAAAAGGAGCAGCAATGTTCAAATTAAAACCCTTTAAGTAAGCGGTGTTTAACTTCAAGTTCTACTAAAAACTTTTTACAATTTTAAACTTTTTTGACGTAAAGTACTAACAAACAAACATATATGCATAGGTAGTACAAAGTGCGATCTATCCCACTGAAATTTTAATTCTCAAATAGCGATATGGCAGTCGCGAGAGTTATTCCCTCGGTCAGGCGGTAGGTAGGCTAAGGGGATATAATTTTAAAAAAAAATTCTTACCATATCTTCGAAAGAATTTACTTGATTCTTTAGGAATTGCCAGCACTATTTTAGATGTAGTTCACCTCCGCAAAAAGATATCCTATTTTTCGATTGTTTATTCAATCCAAAAATAAGCATTGCGATGACGAAAAAGGCAACAAATTATTGGTATTGAAGTATTCTGGTATAGAAACGTAAAATTTTGCTCTTTAAAATTTTTATAAAGAAGGATTGAAAAGTCCCGAGACTAATTATTAAAACATATATATCTGAAAATCGATCGTATTCCTTACTCCTCCAGCAACTGCAGTCTATTGATACTGACTCTACGAAGTTTGTAAAATTAATTGTCAAAAATCTAATTGCATATTCTTGGGCGACCCTGTATTTTTTTTAAAGGGAATAAATACAACAAGTAAAAACACTACGGCGAGCCATGGCCCATCGTTGAACGCTCTCCAACACCGTAAAAGTGCTCATATAATGACTTTTTCCACAGGAATGTTATATGGGAAGTGATCGGAACTATTTTCAATAGCATTGGTCCTTAGGGCCGAAGACGTCATTTTACTAAATTTCATACAAATATAACTTTCAATCTGTAAGTTAACCACAAGAAAACAGGGCGGGCGGACGGAAAGACAGACAAGCTTAAGTCGATCAAGAAAGTGATTCTGAATGGATAGGTATAATAAAAGGTGAGTTTACCTCAAGTCGTTCTGGATGTTGCATACTTCTGGACAAACTTAATATAATTTTTTACCAAAAGCGGTGTAGTAAAAAGCAAAAAAAAAATAAATAAATAAATAAATAAAAGTAATTAGTAATATTAATTAGATAATTAAAAAAAAAAAATGTCTCATCTAATCAGGTTTTTGAGCTAATTTTTTCTGTCTGGCATTCGTAGCTGTAATATCCCTGATACTAAGAGATTAACCTTCGACATCGATAGGCCTTCACATTAATTAATTAATGATTTTAATAATTTTGCTTGTAAACATTGCTTTTATTAGTTAGTTCATTAATTCATTGATAATTCAACTTAAATACATGAACATAATTATTTTACCTCTAACTAATAATGACGCTCACGATTATATCTTTAAACAGTAAATTTGCATTAAATGAATTAAATAAGTTTTAACCTGTTTCTACCACCGCTGATTAATTCATAAAAATTTACATTAAAATTGAAATGCAAAAAAAACGCAATAATAAAATAATTTTATACTTTTTTCCATTTTTTTTTCCTTTTTCTCTTATCTCACTTATCTCTTACTTTTCTGGAATTCTATTGCTGTTATTGTATAAACCGAAAATCCAGACGAATCTAAAATATTCAAAAAAGTTTCATTCACCTCAAAGCAAATATTCAGTACTTAATCCATTAACATATGCGCGGAAAGTAAAAAGTATTAGTGTTCGTTCAAAAATTGAAAGTCAATTTATTCTAGAATTCGTTGTGATATTCGAAATGTGATTAGAAAAATTCTGTAAGGTTAGCCATATGATAATTTTATATATGCGATGAATGTCACAATATCTACGATAATACAGATCGAATTTTTCAACTACTGATTATATATTAATATATTGGCATATATGGCATTTACATCATTTTGCATCACAATGGAAAGCAGTGCTAGGGTATTGACATCCATCAATCTGTTAAGAGATTGTATTGTATTGGAAAGGAACTCTTAAATTACATGCGGAATGAATAGAATGAAGAAATGATTTCCTGAGCATTTGTCTCTTACCACCTCATGTGTTAAAAATTAACAGAAAAGCGACAAATATTCGAATGGAGTAAAGTTATGAAATCTCTTAAAGCTTTCTCGGCATTGTCGATTCTTCTCTTTGCTAAAAAATAAATTTTAAAGAAAACACTAGACAACAATAAGGAGGGCGGATTTATACGCAAGCGTGATCATCACTATGTACCGAAGACGGTACACGCGGTAGCGCACGTGTTAATAATGCTTATAGTTCATTACAATATAATGAAATCAAAATTTCCTATGGAATAATAATAATGATCTATGGCTTCCTATTTAATAATGACGTGTGATACTGAGGTATACTAAGACTGTGTAGGTGTCGGCAACAACCGGAAGGGCTTGAGATAGACCAGCCTTTATTAGAAAACTTAGGCAAACATGTCTGTCCGCTGATATTCTTCTATTTAACTTTTGAGGTCTTTTGATAAGATCACTTTTTATTATATCGATCGATTCAGAATCATTTTCTAAACTTGTCTCTCCGTCTGCCTCTTCGATATTCCTCTGTGCAAACCACATTTCCGGTCACTTCCCGTATAACTTATTTGAAATGTCGTTAGTAGTCCTTTTAATTGTTTCCTTTATTTATATTACATTTTCTTAATGTATGGCACTGAAGTGGGTGTCCTCAAGTAATTTTTTTTTTACAATAAAATATAGATTAAGAACTGGAAACAGGTAATAAGTTAGAGATTTTTTTAAAATTTCCAACAGCTTTAGAAATATTATTGGCTCAGGTACACCTGTTTTTCAAGCCAATTTGACTATATGGACCAATGACTTAGGCAAAGTCCCCAATACGTGTAAGACAGTGATAGCAAGAACTAAGCGAGAAAAGAAAACAATATAGGGAGTTGTCTTAGTTTAGTGGGTGTATGGTCAGTTGATAAGTTTTGTGCCATTACCAACTGAGCACTTACCATAGTTCTCCAAGCTAAGATTTGTGAACATCGACTTGGTAATCGTGACCCTTCTCTACTCGGTAAGGCGCCAGCATATGAGAAAGCTTTCCTTTTTTTGCTTAAGGTGGGGATCTGATTCCTTATTAAGTAGCAGACGAAAAGACGGATTAACAGGCAAATATATTGGTACACGAATGCAAATAGAATGCCACTATCTTTTTAGAATAGACAAAGTAAGGAGAGAAGTTAGAAATGGTGTTTAAAGTGATTACTTCCCTTTAAAACGACATTTGATGAGTAAGTTTGAAGTTTCTTAGGGAGTTAAGTAAATAGTTGAACTTTTTGTTTACCGTTACTTTTAGGTTTATTGAAAATGCACCACACGCTACAAAAAAATACACACACGCTCGAAAGTTATGCATGTGCTGACTAATTAAAAAATATTTTGCTTGCTATTATGAATACAGAAATGATTAAATTTAATTGCATTAATTATCACTAATTAATAATATATAAAACAAAAATTTTATTAATTAAAGTAAAAATACTATTTAATTATCTTTAGTTGTACCGGCATACCGGTTGCAAGGTTTTCTTTGGATCGTCCCCATATGGTCGTTAACTCTATAAATTTTTATTTTACAAAAATTTCTGAAACGATCTGCTTACCTGATCATCTATTATTCCGTATTCTAAGTAAGTTGAAAGTTATATATACGCGATTTACTTATAACAGCTTATCGAGCCTCTCAAATGTATTTGTGATATTGAATGGAAATATTAAGGTTCTACTTGCTTTTTACCTTCTTTCAAAAATTTGAATCGTTCTGGGCTGAATGATTTCCATCAAAAAGGAAATTAGTGTTAATACCACCTTAATGCGGTTCAGATATTGCTATGGAAACATAAAAACAAGAAAAGGAGAACCCACAGTGAATAAAAATTTTAAAATATAAAAATCTGACACATGAGTATCGTAAAAATACTAGCAACATGTGCCCTTAACACGTTCTCCATGCCAAGCTACTTACGAGTGAAAGCCATTTCTGCTCCATGAAAACAATTCAAGCTAACAAAGTTTAATAGTTTTGAATAATTGGCTTTTCAGCCGCGTGTACTGTAATCGGTACACGTCTCAAATGGTGTTTTGAACGTCATTACGTCACCCGAAATAGTGACAACAACGGTTGAGTTTTGTATCCTAATAATTTACTTTAAAAAGCTGGGTATTTTGGCATGTACTGAACCCAGTACACTTTGTGAAAATCATGTTAATAATGTTTATGTTTTATAGCCAAACTGTTCTAAAATATTCTACTATACATAAACATACTGATAATAATTTAATATTGCTAAACTAATCCATTTTGATCCCAAGCAACTTATCAGGGGAAAGTTTGCAATTTATTGAAAACTACTACTACTAAATCAATAGGCATTTTAAAGCTTGAACATTGCCCGATATGTTATAAATTGAATTTTGATAGTAAATATTTGCTTTTACATTACTACGGAGATTTGCGTCATTGACTTACACAACAATTCCGTAGATTCAATGTAACTCTATTTTTTCAACAAATCTTATGAAAAATTTAAAAGTCAGATAGACCGGCGATTGATTAAAGCAAAAAAGGGAATGATTTGTTTACAGGTTGCGCAAACTAATTCAAAAAGTTCTGTTATTAAAGAAAGATTTACTGGCTAAAAAATCCCAAGTGTCTTTAGCCAGAACTTTGCGACTTATGCAACTTCTAACTGCTACGGACGAAATACAGATTTATTCCTTAGAGTTGGAAGGAAGATTGTATTATGAAAATCTGCGTTGACTAGATATGTTGTGTTTACCAACGGAGTTCGTCTCAGCATTTTTCCAATCTTTTATTTCTGAATTTTGTTGTACTTGTCAACAATTGCTTAAAAAACTTTCTGAAGAGAAAGCTAATTGATAATAAAACAAAAAGAAAGAAAATAGAACACTATGGTGGGCCCGCTATTAAATACCCTACATAATTTCATTTGCTAAAGTCGTTCATGTAGGGCGTTATATTGGAAATGATCGAAAAACTGATCCGAATAATTTTCGATAACGTTCGCCCAAATTTCACCAAAATATCTCGAAAATCGCGACAGGTAGGTTGTGTACAAGAAAATAAGATTAGCAAACAGACGGACGGACTGAAGGACAGACAAGTTTACATCAATTAACCAAGTGACTCTAAATCGACCGGTATAATAAAAACATTTACCCGTCCAAGCTTAATATATCCTTGTACCACAACTAGTATAGGGTAAAAAAATAATTTAAAAAAAAAAAAAAAATTTGTTGTCGTTTTTTTAACATTTCATTTTTGGTTTCCTATATAAGGCATTGATAAAAATTAAAATATAAGCAGAATTTAAATTTATTTAAAAATAAGAAACAAAAAAAAAAAAATGAATAAATAAAGAAAAATGATAATAATTAAATGCTTGATAATGGTACATATTTATTAATCTCTTATCAGAGGTGTGCTTGCAATGGCCAATTTCATCCTAGTAAGCAAAAACATTTATGATATATATATATATCATTAATATATATGTGGTATCAATGAGTAATCTGCCACGTACTCATCATAATGCAAAGTTCAACTTCTTCTCCTCATTGCTTTTTATAAATATAAAAAAGATTATCATAATTTTTTTATTTTTTTATAATTTTTATTACTCTGCTAAATGTCACCATATGAAGGTTCAGACTTATTAAAAACCCCAGACGCTTATCAGTTATGTTGCAAAATGAAAAGAAAGAAATCAAAACAACGAGAATATATTGGTTCGACTAAAAGCGAATCTTGGACACCCATTATAGCAAATATTTGCTAGTAATTGCAACCGTATTAACCGCTCGATTGGAACTGCATGGGAAGCAAAATTTTATTGATGCTTCAATTATGCATAAATTACATTCCCACTTTCACGTATAAAGCAGTCTGCGACCGATCTTGTACTTGATCTGTAACTATCATATCAACGGCACATGGGCTAAATTTCAGCCCATTTCTATAAGGCCTTCTTTCATTTTTGCCTTCCGCAAATACTTTGGTTATTTACATTTTTCAAATCCAGTACAGATTTCAATCAGATTGTATTGGGACATTCTTGCGGTAATAATTTTCATCCGTTAAATGATTTGGGCACCGGTGTTAATTTTTGTAACAGACGGAGAGACAGGCAAGCTTCAAAAACTGCAAGCTGGTAAAGTATATAGTCATAGCTGCAATATGTAGGTAGTAAATGACTGATTACTTGAAATACGCCTTTCGTCGTAAGTTTCACGACTTTCAAGATTTTGCAGATCTCATCTGTGGTCATCAAGAAGAAAGTTCATAATTTCAATTTCAATTCAAATCAGGCGAATGGATGAAAGGACGGATGGAAAAATGATTATTACTCCATATACATGTACGTTAGCCCTTTATCCATATTCGTTTTTGTAGCACAATTGCTGCCTTTCCCACAAGTAGACGAAGAGGCGGAGGAGAGATGGTGACTGTTTTATGTACATACCCACAAATACTACTACCCCTTTCCTTGCCCCAATACTCAAATTCAATTATCTAGGACAATTGTTGCATTCGTCACATGTAGATGAATGGGTAGAGGAAAGAATGCTTTATATACTTACAAATACTACTACCCCTTTCCTTACTCCCTCCAAATTCAGTTTTCTAGCACAATTGTTACATTTCCCACAAGTAGATGGCCGAAGGAAAGAAAGGTGACTGCTTTATATTTATATACCCACCAATAGTATTGCTTCTTTCTTACTACTTGCAATTTTTTAACACAATTGTTGCATGTGGCACAAACAGACAAATGCATGGAGAAAAGAATAGTGCCTGCTTTATGTAAATATGCATAAATACTACTGCCTTCTTCCTTACCTTTTTGACAAGTTTCAATTTTCCGTCTTCCATAAAAAGACGGACGGACGGACGGATGGAAGAATGAGTGCTGGTCCCTATCCACAATGTTATCACAAATGCTATCCCCTTCTTCATTACCTTTTTAAATAGCTTCAGCTTTCTAGCAAAATGGTTGCGTCAGATGGACGGATTGGATGTACAGATGGGCGGATATAAAAGCGGTTATTTCCCATTTATATGCCTACTCAGTCTACGCTATCCATATATACAAATATTACTGCCTTGTCCCTTACCCCTCTATGCAAAGATCTTCTTAACCATCCTTCTGCTTATGGGTGTCAAGGTCGTCCCCTGAGCGGCTTTTCAAATATATATGATTCATATAGAAGAATGTAACAAAATGAACACAGTCTCGCATGCGTATATCTGGTATATGCAAGAAAACAAATAAATATTTTCGTTGATCGACACAACGCTTGGCTTCAAATTCACCGAAGATTTTAAGACTTGAGGCCTTCAAATTGACTTAGGAACATGTATTCGTTGCATGGTCTCTAAAAACGAGGCCGATAAGGTGTTATTTACTGAATGGCAAACTCATTATACCGTCAGTTTTTGCTAAGCATAAATCTTGCATTATCAGTAGCAAGCATAACTAGAAACGAAGCTCATTGATATGCTTTGAAATTGAGATCACGCAAGGAATATAAGTCTGATTAGAAATCGATAAATTTGCTTCAAGTAATGGGTTAATAATTTGAAAAAATTTTCAATGAAACTAACATTGCATTAAAATTGATATGACATGAGCACAAATAATATGCTGTAATATGCTGCGCTTTATTAGTTCGTTGACAAAAAAAATGAAAACGTATTTGAAGAGCTTTCGTTAGACCTGTGCTGATGTACTGTTTGTTCGTGAAGTGAAATGAAAACAAATTTTGATTTTTTTTTACTTGAAATTCTATTATTATGCAAATTATCAAGAATTTATTATTATTATTATTTTTCTTCTTTATAGTTATTTAAATTTTCTTAGCCGTCAGCAGCGTTTACGTACAGATGAGAAGGTCATCGTCGAAACGGTCTATGGTAAGATTAAAGGTGTAAAATGGCGTTCGGTTTACGGCACAACATACTACAGTTTCGAGGGTATACCGTTTGCGAAGCCTCCTTTGGGTGAATTACGTTTTAAAGCACCAGTTGCACCGGATCCTTGGACGGGCGTGAAACGTTGCACTCGTATCAAGTCGAAACCGTGTCAATATAATATGGTGCTTAAGCAACTGCAAGGTCGTGAAGATTGTTTATACTTGAATGTCTACACAAGAGAGGTGACGCCCCCCCTCTCCCTTTTTTATTTTACAGTTTAAAAATAATTTTTTTTTATAATTTTTTATTTATAATAAAAATTTAGCTAAACCCTGTAAAACCATTACCAGTTTTGGTGTGGATCTATGGCGGTGGCTTTCAAATGGGCGAAGCTTCCCGTGATTTGTACAGTCCCGACTATATAATGATGGAAAATGTTGTTTTAGTAATAATTACCTATAGGTTAGGAGCTCTAGGTAAAGTTATTGAAAATAATAACAATTCTTTTCCTTTGGTTTTTTTAACTTTTGTTTAAAATTTCTCTTCCTAGGTTTTCTTTGTCTTGACGATCCTGATTGCGATATACCCGGTAATGCTGGACTTAAAGATCAACTATTAGCTTTAAAATGGGTTAAAGCCAATTGTCATTTCTTTGGCGGTGACGTTAATAATATTACGGTTTTTGGTGAAAGTGCCGGCGGTGTCTCCGCCCATTATATGATGTTAAGTGAAAAAGCTAAAGGTCTATTTCATAAGGCTGTCATAATGTCAGGTAGCGTTTTGACATCATGGGGTTTTTTATCGAAAATGGATTGGGCTTATAGATTGGCCAAAGCCACGGGCTTTAAGGGTTTAAATGAAGACAATTTAGTGTTACAGCATTTGCGTAGCGTCAAAGCTCAAACACTGATGAGGGTAGCCGCTGGCTTGTTAACCTTAGAAGAACGACATGATAGAAGGTTCATGTACACTTTTGGACCTTGTGTCGAAGCGTATGAAACGGCTGATTGTATCGTGCCTAGGCCACCATTGGAAATGCTACGCGATGCATGGAGTAATGAAATTCCTTTATTAATTGGCGGCAATTCATTTGAGGGCTTACTAATGTTTACCGAAGTCCGAAAATATCCTGATCTTATAAACAATTTAAAGATTGAAAGTTTACCACCTTTCGATGCCGCCCTAAGCGACGAAAAGCGTAAAGAGTATGGTCAATTAATTAAAGAAGTTTATTTTGGCGAAGAAGAACCCTCGTGGAAAACTATTTTACAGTACAGTGATGTATGTCTGTCCTTAACAATTTTCATTTAATTTGAAACCAATGAAAAAAAATTTTCGTTCTCTTTTTCGTAGATATTTTCCTATAAATACTTTTGGCATGGTATCCATCGGGCAGTATTGGCTCGTCAACGTTATGCTACGCAAGCCGATACTTATTTGTATCGTTTCGATTTTGATTCGAAACATTTTAATATTATGCGTATCATCGCGTGCGGCCGTAAGATACGCGGTACCTGCCATGCCGATGATTTATCGTATCTATTTTACAATGCGGGCGCGAAAAAGCTCAAGTATCGTTCTGCTGAATTTAAGACCATACGACGTATGGTAGCAATTTTAGCGCAATTTGCCAAATGCGGTGATCCCAATATACCGAATGACAATAACACCCTTATCAACTGTCCGCTCGAACTAGAGCTGAGTAAGGACAACAGCGACCACCATCATCATCAGCACCAGCATCAGCAACAGCATCAGCAAAACGAAAAGGATTTTTGTAATGAAAATTGTAGCAGTGGTATTGATATTACTAGGGATAGTAATGGTGCTGGTGGTGACGTAACTCATGACGACCGTAGTGGTGATATATTGCCTGACACCGTAAACATCACTGATGTTGACAATAGTAGTAGTACTGGTGGAAATGAACAAAGAGAACATAAAAAAAGACAGCAACAACACCACTGGTTGCCCATTTCACCTGACGATACGACATTCAAATGTTTGAACATTTCCGATGAACTTGAAGTGATTGATTTGCCCGAAACCGAAAAACTGCAATTATGGGATAACATGTATGAGGATAAATCATTGCTATATTAAACTGAACGCTACTACACGTTTGTCTCAATTTTCGCTCTTCTCCTTACACTTCCCCTCATCACTCTATCTCTGTATCTCTTTTATATATCTATAAATGTATCTCTTTTTATATTTACCTCCAGTAAGTGTAAATTATTGTTGGATTTTTATTCTTGCATGGAAAAGGACTATTTTTGAAAAAATCTCTTTAGTGAATTTAGAAAAATAATTAAATTGTTTTCATAAATATATTTTTGTAACACATTTAATTAAAGGATAAAGAATTTTGAAAATAAATATTTTGTAAAAAAGAAATATATATGTATATATATATACATAAAAATAGAAAGTGATTATTCATAGGTAACTTCTTGCAGATTTCACTCGCCGCTCTTCGGCGAAATTGAAGCTATACGCCAACGTTTTACTGCACTCTTACAATCTTCGGGAATTTCTATAATGAATAGATCGTTAAACGGCCAGGTGGATGGATAGAAGAAAAGAAAGACAAATAGATAGACAGATAGATAGGCAGATGAATAAGGGAATGTAAAAAAAAAAAAAATGCAAATGAATAAAGAAAGTTTTAGCCAACAGATGAAAGAAAAATTAGACGGAGGAATCGGCAAATGCATTAAGGAATGGATTGATAGATAGGCGGACGGAAGAATACGGAAACAAATAGGTTCATGGATAAGCGTTCGAACGAATAAACAAACTAAAGGATTTACGGATAGATAGACGGACAAATGAACAAATGAAGTCACTGATGGATAGAACAACGGAAGATTACATAAACAAGTGGAATGAAGGGTAGAGGATCGTAAGGACGCACAAAGGAATGGATTTATAGATAGACGGAGGAACGGATACATAACAAAATGCATGGATGGATAGACGGATGAACGAATACAAAATCAAATCGATGGATGTGTAGACGGATGGGCGAACACACAACAGCAAAGGATTGACGGATAAACGGTCGGACGAATGCATAAACAAATGGATTGATGGGCAGACGGTCGAACGAATGCAATGTTGTATAGACTCAATGGATTGATGTACAGACGGAGATACGAATACAAACAAATGCATTGTTGGGTAGATGTACTGACGAGTGCGTAAACAAGTGGGTTGATGGATAGATGGTCGGAGGAATAAACGAAAGAATTGATGAATAGACAGGCGCACAGACGCGTAGATAAACGAATAAACTGTTGAATAATTGCAGGGACGGATAAACGAAAGAATAGATAAGCATTCAGTTGAAATAACAGATGAACGAACGATTGAGAAATAGATAGGCAAGCAAATGGAAGGATATGAATATATTGGTGGATATATTGATATTGATGAACGTTTAGATAGACGTCTAAACGAATGAGTAACTAACTAGATGTATGGGTAAATAGACGAACGCACGGATAAATGCAAAATTTTTTCCATAAACAGAATTTGAAAAGTACGAATGTAAATACATAAATTGGCAGAAGCATGACTAGGTATAAAGAGGTATAAGTAGACAAAAGAGTAATCAAGTGTTTCGAGGATGACTGTTAATTCATCCAATCAACTACTTCCTTCCAAATTCGCTAATCCATTTGTCTACCTAACCGTTAGATTATTTGTGCGGTCACGGATGGGGAATAGACAAACGAATAAGGCGAATAGGCGACTGAACAAAGCGATAAAAGAACGGGGAGACGAAAAGATGCATGCATGGATGAAAAATAGCTTTATTTCCGCAAAGTGGCCTTGAAAGAGAGTCTCACGAATACATGAACAACTAGGAAAGAAATGTGCGCAAGGTCGCTTTTCAAACGCATCCTAACCAAAAGAGGTATTCATAAAAAAAAAAAGAATTTCATGCCCGCTGGAGGTGCAGTCGTCAATGTCTTGATATTCTTTAATAAAATTCAATACCCTAAGCTCTTGCAGAATCTTCTGCAAAACTGAAGAACCTATGATGTCTTCTCGTTAATGGAAATACTCGAGCCTTGCAGACTTTCTGAGCCTTTCTACATTCATCGAACTTTATCTGTTTCCTCTGAAAAAACAACTCTTTCTAGTCTTAAAATAAGCTTCCGTCTGTTTTAATTCCACACAGATTCCTTTGCCTCACATACAGACGACTTTGATCTTCACAACCGGCTTTAAGGTATCTGAAGACATTTTCTTCGTATTAAAAATAAGCTCTGATGCGCTAACGTTGATAAAATTTGGACTAAAGGTATATATGATGTTGAAAAATATGTGCAACGAGTAATTTGCTTTTTTTTTTGCTCGCACACATCATTTACTAGAAATCCTAAGCAACACAATTTTGGTTTACAAAATATGGTCTAATTATACAAATGGATTTCCAAATATCTGCTTATAAGTAAAAAAAAAATTTTTTTTTGGATATTTCTTATCTCTGTCTTCAAGCTGCTGTTGAACGAAATGTTGTTTACTGTTCAGACCAAATGTCTTCAAAAATTATTTTATTCCATGCTTTGTTTGTCAAAGTCAAAGCAATAATATAATGATCACAATAATAAGAATTCTAATCAAATTCTTATCCGCATTGAAGAAAGGAAAGAAAAAGAGACTAATGCGAACGCGCAGATAAACAATCAAACTGAGTAGCAGATTCCTCAGAGGTATTAAAAAGAGATAACTACATGCATAGCCAAAGAGCCGAACAGACAATGAAGAGTAGCAAGTACCGTATGCGATAAACTAGTTTAGGTTATGATATTAAGTTCTATGTCAAGCTACTTATGGATAGTTGCCATTTCAATGCCAACGCTGTGAACCATATTCGATACACGTTAAAAAATTTAAGACGCGTTTGTGTTTATGAGAGAAATAATACATTTTTCCATGCCATGCGTCTCCCGTCATCGGTATACCTCTCAAGCAAAGTCATTAACATACCTTGTCGGTGCATGATGACAAATTTAATAATTTTGAATATATATTTTTTTAAGTTTATAAGAGCAAACGGACATCTACTACTATCGATCCACGTCTCAAATAGTGTCATAAGCATATCTTAGCTTTGTGTACCGTTTTCGGTACATGAGAAGAACATTTTTGGATTCGAGGCAGAACACATATAATTTGTGCATGCCGTATGTACCGTTATCGGCAGACCATTCGCATGCTTTGTCTTATTTTGGCATTATCGAAGCAGCGGCGAATTGTTGCAATTGGTTTAAGGAAAGTTTGCTGGCCCTATTGTCTATAAAATTAGCACCCAAGTTGTTCTCTAGAACAATAACCTTGGTTAACAGATAGTTTTCCTTTTTTTTTAGATAGCGCTCTCTGCTACTATTCTACTTTGTCCAAAACAAAAGAAGACCAACTCAATTTTTTCTTTTGTAAATCTGCCTATTATTCCAAATCTATTCAAAGTAACCCTTAAATTCATTCATCGTGCACAACATCACCTTGATTTTTAATCAATTTGGCGCAATATTTTTGGTTTTGGCTCAACTTTTGCACGATATTTACTCGATTAATCGCTTGTTTTCAGATCATATGTGTCAATCCAGGTGTCATCTCATTTCATTTTGCAATAGTATATATATTTTAAATGTTAAATTATTAATTTCTTTTTGTTAAAGTTTGCAATACGATCTTCTAATTCTTTGAACGCGTTGAACGAATAGACAATGTACCCTGAACGATAGGCCTTATTAAAGAAAAATAAAAACTTTATGGAACCTTCTTGAGAAAAGTTATTTTGCATTTTAATATAATCTTCGGACAGCAGTAATAAAAACTTTAACATGAGTTTAAATCGTTGGCGGTTAGAATAACAGCTTCTCGTGATTACGGGAAAACCGGTGCAAAACTAATCTTTTTTGCAATTGTTCATGCGTAAAAAGAACGAGATCCATATCGAATATGAGAAATATTCTTTTTTTAATTTTCAGAGTGTCAGACAGACCGATTTGTAAAATAAGTGAGTTTCTTGTGCAACAAGTTGCATTAAATTTTATTTCCGAAATGAAATGAGAGGAGACCTAGATGTGGGCATATGAGATGATCAAAGATCGAAAAAAAACTGCGTCAAATTCGTTCAAAAATCAAGGTAATGTTGACAGTTTTCTACGATTATCGTGGTCCTGCATACTATGAATTTCTTCCGCCCGGCAAAGTTGTTAATAAGGAAGCTTATCTAAGTTTGAGGATTACATTCATGGCAACAAAATAGCCTTGGAATAGTAATTATTCTGGTCTTTTTTCTGTTGGACACATTAGTATATCTAAAATTTCTATTCCATTGCCTAGTGTGCTATCTGTAAACTGAAGACATCAAAACCGTTTTAAGAATGAATTTTAAAATGAAAAAAAAAAAAAATGTTTTTTCTTCCTTTTTGATTTAATTCTAAACTTTTTGAAGTTAAAAAAACTCTTTTTTTTTTTTTATTTCTTTCGCTCTTTCTATGAAATTCAAAACAAAAAAGCTTTATTCTCTGAAAACAATAATATTACATGAGATTTAGATTGTGCAGACAGTTAGTCAAAGCTTTTATAAAGTCAGCTGGTTTATATTTATGGTTTATGTATACATATGCATATTCGCTTTTCTTATGCATTTTGTTTTGATTATTATTCTCAACTAAAAATTGGGTTAAATATGCCTTCGCCAAGATGCTATTATAATGAATTTGTAGAATTTTTCAAAAACAAAAATTAAAAAAAGAAACAAAAAATCGTAAAAGATACATTATGGCGAGTGTTTGGCGTTGAGGATATATTTAGAATTAAAAAAAAATATACGTACAAGTTGTGTAGAACAAGTGGTTTTTCTTGAAATGTTGTTGATTTTTTTTTTTTTTGTTTTCTTGCATAATAATTGAGAAAAACACATTTGAGATTTACATAAAGAGCCTACGTAAAGATACGCATAATAAATAGTTAAACTCAAATATCTTAGCAATAGAAATAGATATAAACAAAAAAAAAAAAAAAAAAAAAGAAGTATATATCTTAAAACATACATAAGAAGCTAAACAGTTTTTTTTTTAACTTTGCTCAAAAGAGCTTAAATGACTTTTTCAAAAAATGAATTTTTCTACGAGTAACAAAAATTTTGTTATATCAGCCTAGGAATGCCCTCCTAGTCAGAATGAGACGAATGGGCATATACGACTGTTTAATCTAAGTCTTTGTTGACAAGTGCACACCACGATATATATACTGACAGTAAATGAATCACTCTTATGGTCATTTGCCCCTAACACCTTTAATTTACAACTGAGTTTAGATAGAATTTCTAGTTGATCAACGAAACCATACAGATAGATAACTTCTAGAAGAAGCAAAAATTGCCAAGCCATGCTCTTACATACTCGCTATGGAATCAATTATTTTCCCCTTTTTTTAATATGACCGAACAATCAGGGCATGTCATCTATTCGAATAACAGGGTGACAAAGAAAAAGGAGAAAGGAAAGAGAAAAAAAGAAACCGATATTATGCCTTTACCGACTAAGCACCCGCTATAGCTACAACTAAAGAAAAGTTTACCGTACTTAAGATTTGAGATCCCGACCTCGAATTTTGATTATCTCCCAAGAATTTTAACCCAAATGTTTGCGCAAGGCTTCTGGTTTCAAATAGAAACTACAGCAGCAGAGGAGCAACAAAAACCAAATGCTTGAACTAATACATTTTGCTGAGATTATTTGTCATGTAAAACTGTGATCTAGCTATCGTGCCTAGACCTCTGGAAATCGCAAACTTACAGTAATCCATCGCAAATTTTTCATTGAAATATCTAAGAATTCTATGAAAAAAATTAGATTGTTCAGATAATCATAAGATCGATAATTGGAAAAATCTAGTGCATATGCAAACAACCAGACCGATATACGATCAAACAGTGCTCTCTCCGTTGTTAGGGACAATGGTTTTTTAGGCTACTTAACATTTGCTTTATCAATGTACACCAGGATGGCCGTTTCCTTTATCAGCTCATCAGATATGCATGCTACAGATCGCATCAAGTTTGTTGAAACTAGCTTCACTATGTCTGTCCGTCCGTCATTGTATTTAACCTTTCTCGAAAACGCAAAAATAGCTCAGGAAATTTGAAATATATTGTACTCATAAACGTAAAACATGTTCATAGATCAGTTTAGCAAACTATCTGATCTATGGATTTCGGAAAAACGCTTAAAATTTCAATATTTTTTTATCAAATCAATCGATTCATGGAAATGCAGCTCCAATATTTGGCGAAACTACCTTTAACATTGCAGTGCCAAGACGGTTTTACCCAGAGACGCACAGTGGACAGAACTTCTCTAACTACTGCTCGCGTGTACTGAAAACTTCAAATGGTTATGGTTGACGAGAGCGCGTCCAATACTCTCTTCAGCGGCATAACGTTGACTGCCCTCTGCCTCTACATAGATAAGTGAGGTCACATCAAGAGAAGAGAAGAGACTTGTTCACCGATCTCTTGCCCAACTTCTTTCTGACCACTTCCGTATTCCACGAGCAGAAGGCACTTTCTAAACGATTGATCATATTAAATATAAAAGGAAAAAACGAATTCGAATACTCGACTTATGGAACGTTCACACTCGCAGGTTCTTCTGAGATTATCCGCCGTCACACTGCTTTTCTAATTCGTTCCTTAATCGTCCAGCTCGCCTTTGCAAAAATCTACAGGCAGTGCTGGTTTTGGCCGTTTCAGGTATTTCCGCTTTCAAATACCACTTACACCAATGCCACCCCGCCGTAAGCCTCATTGGTGCCTTCAGGGGACTTCACCTAAACGATCTACTCATCCAAATAATACTAAGACTTAGCTTCAATTCCCTTTTCCTTTCTAGATTAATGTAATGAAAGCGGAATGAGAGCGTATTCAACATGTTAAGTTGAAATTTTCACAACGCTTCCTTAAAGATGAGCGTAAGTTAAGGTATTTTATATTTATTATTATTATTATTCCCCTTAGTTTTCATAGTTAAATGAAGTTATTTATAATAGAATATAAGAATGATATGAAGATGTTTTAATTAATTTATGAAGTAATTAACTTTACTTAGAAAAGTAACTTTGAGATTGCCGCTACAATAATCCAATTATGTATATAAATATGAGCATAAACATATTATACCTATGTATATATACATATTGGAGGTAGGTAACATCAACAATAAATACGAGAACATCAAGAAGAAGAAACAGATGAAAACATTTTGCGCGAAACCATCAATGAATACTAAAAAGCTTTCTACTGGTAGGGAACTTTTGCAATATGTGAATGTAAATCTCGCACAGAGCAAGTGTGCGTGGTTTGATAGATAGATAGATAGATAGATAGAGCAATGACTACTTGCATTTAGCGCGTTAGACAGTTGGTGATGAGTTGCCTTCAGGAAAAGGCCAGTGTGTGTGAATTTAAAATTAATTTAAAAATAAAAAATAAAAAACTTATATATAATAAAAAAATTACCTTATTATTATTATAATTAAAGCATAGAAACAAAACAAAAAAAAAAAAACTTAACCAGAGTTATTAAATTTAAAATATAAAAACCAAAGATACCCAAAAGCTTGAATTTATGTGATAACGAACAGCACAAATGCTTTAAATAAACAATTTTTTGTAGATGCTTTTGGTTTTTCAAGAGCACATATGATTACTTAAGGATATTTCAAGGCTAAAGCAGATGATTTCAAGCTAACAATAACAACAATTATATGCACATATATCTGCACGCAGAATAAAAGCTCATTTCATATCCTGCACTTTCGTTTCCCTCACCGTAAACGCGTATGTGTTGATTAAAACTCAATGCCATCTCAAAGTTTTTTCTCTATAAAAAAAAAAAAATAAATAAATAAATAATATATAACTAAAAAGGATCTTAAATACTAAATAGCGAGCGAAAAAAAAAACGAACTTTTTCGTTTCTATTAAACAAAACATAGAACAATTTTTTCAAATTTATTCGATAACAACATGAGTTCGACTATGCCTACCATCGACCAAATCAAATTGGGTTTAAAGTAAGTGCGAAAGTGTGTGCATAAAATTATAAAAATTGAAAGAAAACATTTCTCATTCTACATATGTCAATCTATATATGTGTAATAAACAAGAATGTTCTTTATTCTTACACCCACTAGTGTACTATAGGAATACCTCGGATTTGTCATCTCATTTGTAACCTCCAGAGAGTTTTTCAAAGGAATATACACTTGATTACTACAAGTTTCGAAGACGATTTAGTTAAGCTGATCTTTTTCTTTCTCTCTCTCTCTCTCTCTGTGGGTTTGTCAGATTTTATTTTGCTTAGATATTTGTCTGTTCGTACGTCTATAGACCTAATTACTTCATTGCCGATCTTTCTTGTCCACGTTTATAAACTTTTAATGCTCTAACTCTGTTAAATCACTTTTGTCTGTCCGTCCGTTCGTATGTCTTTCGTTTGCTATTGAAGCTCGCTTCAATCCAACTGTTAAAAGTGAAACTTTTATTTTCTTTAAACACTTATTCTAGAGTGATTTAGACGGATTATGCTATGAACATTTTGAAACCCCATTTAAAAAAAAAAACAAGGAAAAATACCATAGTGGGCTACAGCCCACAAGCACAGATATTCTTATATTTTTCGAAATCTAGCTTTATATGAGAAGTGATCGATAAAGTTTGCGATCCGAATCATTTTCAATCGAGTTTGTGCTTCAGTCAAAATACAGATTTCCTCAGAATATCTCAAATGGGCAGATAGAGAGAAAAGCTTAGAAAATGATTCCCAATCGATGAGAGTGGTCCGACCCGTGTACCAAATTTCATCAAAATATCTTAAAAAATACGACCTGTAAGAAGAACGGACGTACAGAGAAGCTTAAACCGATTCAGAAAGTGATTAAGAAAGTGATTATGAATCGCTCATTGAAAAATGAGTCTAACTCAGTTATGGATGTTATGCACGTCAGCATAAACTTAATATACCGTTGCACGACAAGTGACGTAGGGTATAAAAAAAGGAAAAAAATTCAAAAAAATTCTCATCCAATTGCTTTTGTAATCTTGTCACTTAAAACAGACATGGCTACAGTATCAAGCTTAAATCAAACATGTATCAGTGACTATTTGAAATTTTAAAGACAAAATGCAACTACTTTTATGCTAACGGTTTATAGACATTATCTTAAAACGAATATTCATTATCTGCCCAAGAAGGATAGTTTCACCAGTCAATGCGTGTAAGGAGGATATGCAGTCTATGCAGAAGCAAAACTCTCGATTGATTCACCCATGTCCGTCTGTTCAAGGCCCAAAATTCACATGACAAACCGTGTCTTTCGTTCGTAAATTTTAATGAAGCAAAACTGCCCTAGAAAGTTGGCGACACGAACTTATTTATACCCAATTAGCAGAAAAAAAAGGATTGTGAAAAATTAATAAATTGAAAGAACAATTTAAGACTCATTACACTGAGGTGGCAGACACCGATTGAAAATTTGTAAAAGTATTTATACCGTACACCACTTATTGAACTAGAGCATATTGAGTTTGTGCGGATATATGCAACACACAGAAGGACTTAGGACAGACCTACCTTTTATCATCAGAATCACTATCTGAAGCTGTCTAAGCTTGTCTAACTATCTGTGTGTCTGTCCATCATTTCAGTTTTATTCAATCTGTCCATCATTTTGAAATAACTTGATTAAATATGGTATACTGAAGTGTTTCGGTCCAACAGCAAAAGCTATGGAAAATGGTTTAGATCGGACCACTTTTTCGACTACTTCCCACATAGCGCTTTATTTTTTTAATAAAACGTAGTTGTATTAATAAATGTAAAGTGACATAGGGTATTTAATGGCGGGCCGTGACTTAGTAAAGCGATTTTACTTGTCGTGGCTTTTATTTGACAAAAAAAAAAAAAAATAAAAATAAATAAATAAAAAAATCTTTGCAACCATTTAGACAATGGATATAGAACGTACATCTAAAAACGCATAAATGTATTCCTTACTTATTTTTATTTTCTTTCTAAAATTAGTGTAAGCTACTAGTGTTATCTCTTTGTTGTTTATAAAATATGATCAACTTTACAAAAAACGTGCATTTTCAAAAGCATTTCTCATTTATCATTAGTGCATGATCATGTGTAATATTTATTAATAAATAATAAGAAGCAAAAAAATACTGAAAAAAAAAAGATAAAAATATTTCCAGTTACTTTTTTTACGAAGAATTATTGATATTTATTAGGTCTTATTTCTTAAAGTTGTTTTTTTTTTTTCATTTTGTAATTTGACGACAACGCTTTTAGTGCCGGTTATATATTTGAGCATTAAATGACACATTCTGTAAATAAGTGATATCATGTACCATGTGTATTATAAATAGGAAATCTAATTACATTTTTAATAATCAAATCAAACGTAATGTGTCTACGTGTACCGACGAGCGCACACAGTGATAAGAAGTAATATGTACATAGACTTGTGTACGCAAAATAATAACCAATGGCTTAAAACGATTAAGAACATCACTCTATAAGTAGTGATCTCAAAAACTAACTTAACAATTCTTCGCCTTAGTCGAAGCTTTTTATCATTTATTTATCCTGGCTTTCAACATGCGTCTAGCTTTGGGAAAGATCTTGGAAATTTTTAAATTGTTAAAATTTCGCCAAAAGATTAACAAATATCAAGTCAGGTATATAGGTTAGGGAAAGTCTCTAATGTCAGAACTTCATTTTGGGTAAAACGCCTGCAAATAGATTTTTCGCATCATCTGAATAGCTTACCTACTATTCATGAATACTTTTTGGAGCATGTTGCCACTTACCTTGCAGATATAACACATTTTCATAGAATGGACTTGCAGGCGAAGCGTTTCGCTTTATAGTAAAGAGGTTAGTTTCGTGGAGCTAAGACTTCTTCAATTTAGAATTATATTTGCTTACTTACGTAGATATGGTTGGATTGGGAAGCTAAATGGACTGAGGGGTTTATATATATAATTTACCTATGTGTACTAAGTATTGCATTTTTTTTTTTTTATTTTGACATAAGGTTCATGTCTTTATTGAACTTATCTGCGTTGCTGCTTATTCCTTGCCATTAAGCCTTCGATGAGCTTCATATTTGTTGTAATCAATTTTATTTATTCGCTGCTGCTTACTTTATCTATTCCCATAACTAACTTTAACTTTGTTTCAATTGTAATAAATGTAATTTTTTGGTCCCTTGTACTTATTGTAATTTGAACCTATGTTTAACTTAACTGTATTGGCGCTTAATTTTGGCTGCTTGTGTACACAATTATCTTTGCATTCATTGTAATGCTTCAGAGTTGCTTTTGGTAAACACTCCAGTTTTAATGGCCATTACCGATAACTGATGAATAACGTATTTATCTTTTGTTAATAGTGTTATGTATTCTTTGTGCGTGATGTTCTACACATTTATTTGCTAATCAAGTTAATCTTATCAGTTAATCTTTGCTCGCTAATAAAACTCTTAGCCATTAATGATAAATCATTACTTTATATCCATGTTTGTGTATCAATAATTACGTATCTATTCCGTGACTATTGCTTTTTTTATCAACTATTTAGTGCTTCTTTTTTTTTTTGTTTTTTTTTTATTTACCCTATACTCTTAGTCAGCTAGATGTAAGCATTCAAGTTGTCCAAAAATGTGTTCTCACGTCTGAATGTGTTCACCTCGCTGAAATTTAAATCGGAGTTGAAATTGAAACATGAGTTGAAAAGTATAGGTTTGATGGAACCGGCTTCATCCGATATTTTGCTTTTTTTTATGCTTTCTTTTTCATTACATTTTTTCTTTTCTTTCATTCATTTATTTATTTATTTGTTTTACTTTATCTAATTTTACTTTATTTAAAAATTTTGAATTTCTTTTATTTTTATGGATTTTTCATTGCTCTACAAGAGCGAGAGAGAGACAGAGAGCTATACGCTGAAATTTCTTTCTTACCAAACTAATATATTTTTATATTTAATGCTTATAGGCAATCAACCAAGAGACAGACACAATAATAAAAATTCATTATCTAAACGTACATACAAATACCTTATGTCACAGTATATATTTTATTAGTGTGGGCAGAATGAAAAGCAAAAATTGAAAAGAAAAATTGAAAAACAAAAAAACACAAGAACACGGAGATTACATACATTTAACTTAGGCCGAATCTTTTGGCAGTCACCATCTAAATTATCATATAATCAGCAAGCATGAGAGCTTCAAGTCCTCTAAGGCGAATTTCTAACACACTTCATATCGCGTATATGTATTTTCTGTAATTTGATTAAACTGAACTTCTCACTAGCATGTCGATACATTTTCAACCATAAGTGGTGAGGTGAAGTTGTTTTTTTTTTATTATACACATCAAGGTAGGTGGACCGGGTTAAGCTTCGCGTTTAAGTAAACATTTCCATTAGCACTTTGACTTGGCCATTTCTAGTTTTTTTTTTTTTGATACTAGGGGAGCGCTTGGTGCCGAATCATGCCCATCCTCAAACTTATTCGATGTTTTCATCTAAACAGCACTCTGCAAACGAATAAATGGACAGACGGGCGGACACTCAAAATCAAATCGACAATAAACTTTACGATCAGCAAGAACATATACACTTGATAGGAACTTTAAATCATTTGTCTTGATGTCGCAAATCGAAGAATATATATATTAGGATAAACATTCTTTTTGTGCGGTCTATTTTGTGCCTTTAGGTGGTCCCTCTTTGTGAAGTGGCGGGTGATAAAGGACTATTAAATATCTTGGTTCTGAATCTTTTCGATAATCGAAGAAAATAAGTTTTTTATTTTCTTCTTATTAGCAAAGTCGAAAGGCTTTTTAAAAGTTGTATATGATACTTCCGTATTTAGAATGTCCGGAAGTACAAACGGTAAATTCGTCGATGTTCTGGGGATTTTGTTAAGATGGCAATTCACTTGAGTCATCATTGTAACTTGACCCAAAATACATAAGAAGCTTGGTGAGTAGTAGCACTAATGAAATCTCAAATAAGTTAGCAACAGTAAGATTAGATGTACTTTACGTGACCTCTACTATATACACTTCTACGTGTTGCAAACGGCACGATAAAATTAATAGATTTTCTTTTCCATATAAAATATGACAGACGATTTTCTGTAAGTAGCCAATGATTACTTCATTTATAAGCAATTGACTTAGAATTAAAAAAAAAAAAAGAAAGAAAAATGAAACTCTCACGTAAGTATTACGTACATTGCATACGTAAGGGACATTACGTACGTAAGGGACTAATTTGGAGGAAGGAATAAATTAAGACATTGTTTTATTCTCTTTTATAACCAAACTAAACAAAAGTAAAGATCTTCCATTATCAAGTTTAATTGTTAGCATTGTAAGCTTAATGGTTAGAGATCTAAAAAATATTGAACTTTTTTGGAGTTAAAAGTAACAAATACACATTTCTTTTATCCCATACTTATTCATGTAAACTACAGTTCAATTCCGCAATTGCTCTATCATGGGCTTTAGCACTTTTGTTTCCCCAGCTGTAACACTTATCACTTCACTGTATTATTCTCCGTTCTGACACACGGTTTCGACTACAAGGTCACGAGTTAAGTTGTTGCAGTGGCACTAAGTAACTGGCAGAATCACCAAGTTTTTACACGTATGGGGTCAATATTGGGACTATCCAAAAGTCAAATGGGTCAGTCAGCAGTGTTTCCATATATGTATTAGATCGGAGACTTATTGAGTAAAATCTTAGGGGTGCACCGCAACACCGAAGAACTGTATATCAACAATATATTTCGTGATGTCCATCCGTCCGCATGTCCGTATGTATTTTCATAATTCCAAAACCTTTTCATCTATTGTGTGAAGCAAGACACTAGCATGTTATGCAATAAGTTGCCCCTATCCTCTATCCAACAATTTATCATAAATCCTAATAAAAGTTTACACATTATTTGGTTCGTTTAAGCGTAGATGATGGGCATCTTATATTTATTCTCTATTATTTAAAGCTCTCTTCGGTATTGTTTATGTTTTCGTATCGCTATCTTCCTTCGCGTAGTAAAAGTCCTTGAAGCAAGTAACAGTAAATAAATAAAAACAAAAAAAAAAAAATGTGGGCTTTGCAGAATAAAAGAAAATAAAGTGAAAGCTTTTTTCATTCATTTATGTATCGTTTAGTCCATAAAGCAAAATGTGCTTATGCAGAAAAGCTTTATCAGGTGTTTTCTCTTCCCTGCCCTGCCCTTATAAAAGTTGATGTATTTTCTGCAAGCAAGTACACATATATTAATATTGATTACTTCAAATTTTCAAAACATTATTTAAAAACAAAAATATGCGTAAATGTTCTTAGGTGAATATGTTGCGTTTTATTTGCTTAATTTCTTTATAAATTATTTGTTTATTTGTTTCGTATTAATTGTTATTTTTTTGTCATTATTTATGTTTTTCAAATAATACAAGTTGGAATATGAGCTGATTTTGCAAATATTTGCGCTACGAATTTCACAAAAATGTGTTTTGAAAATTTGGTCTCTTCCATCACGTAAATAAATAAATGAAACATTTCTTTAATAAAACAAATAGAAACCTTATACTTGGGCAAGGCCGCTTATTAAAGATCCTACACCACTTCATTTTTAAGCCAAAACATGTTCATGTACCAAATTTCATAACAATTTCTCGAAAATTACGATCTGTAGGTTGAAGACAAGAATAGAAGACGCACGGATAGATAGACAAGCTCAAAAAGTGATTCGGTAATATCGGCCGGTATAATAAAAGGTACGTTATATCAAGTTCATCGGGCGTTGCACACATTCGCTGGTACATCCTTGTACCAAACAACCGGCGTATGATAGGTAGGAAGCACCATAATAGTCTAAGACCCACTGTTAAATAACCTACGTACTCTAGTTACTCGTATAACGAATTTTAAAATAAGGCTGTATGGGAAAAGTAGTCAAAAAAATGGCTCGATTCAAAACATTTCCAATAGCGTCCTTCGATCAATGAATGCCGCTGTACCAAATTTCATCAAAATACGACCTGCATAACCATAATACATAGACAACGATCATGCTTCAGTAGGGTGCACATCCGTGAAAGTACTAGGTTCTTATACCTCGATACTATTCCAACGGTGGCGGTGGCAATGAGAGCAACCCCAAGCTGGAGGGGTGCGATTCGTGGCAAACAACAAGCAAAATTCCAATAGACACACGGACGGATGAGAGAGATAAATGTTTTAAAGCAAGTCAAAAAATTAGCAATACATCCAACACCGCATAAGAGAAAACGCACAAAAAAAAATCGCACAAAAAAAATCGCGAAAAAACAGACTTGGATGTGTAAAATTCTGGACAAAAGTATGAAAAAAAACTTTTTCTTTTTTTGGCAAAGTTCAACATAGTTCGTCAGCTTAGTTTTGAACAAGATTGATGCAATTAGTTCCACACTTCTCTAAAATATCGCTGCTCTTTTCATAGAACGATATCTCATCATTCTCAAAATAAATGCCAACTTTCGCAGTGACCCCAGGCACCACATTTGACTTAAGCGTTCCTGCTTGGAATATCCTTTTGCTATTTACAAATTTTTATTTATATGATCATTAGTGCGTCTAATTATTATTTTTTATTATTATTATTATTTGTAAATAACAATAAATAAAGTTAAGAGAAGAATTTTAAAAATTTATGAAATTCGCCAACGTAAATAAGCATAAAACCCCATTTGTCCAACGTTAAAGCATTATCGGGCCATATTTGAAACTATAGAATAATATATCAAAACCCTTTCGTTGAGGTTATAGTAAAACGATTGTCTCCTCGGTTTGCCATTTACACAAAGCATCTCAATACATAGTGGTTTTCAATCCCCACTATTTATAGAAAAATTAATGCTCATTGAATATGCTAAGCATAAGTAGTGCCAGTGAGTAGGTTATTGAATAGGGAAAATAAAATCTTTCAACCTATATATAAACTCTTCTAACTAATCATAAAAATAATTTCCTGAAACTTCAAAGAATGTGTGGGTTTTCGTAATGCCCATAGCTAGAAACTATATTCGTTTCATTAGAAATCTAATTGAGTGCTCTTCAGATCTTCGGCATAACATTTGAAACTTAATGTAGAAAATTGAATTCAATGACAAAAAAAAAAAAAAGGTGTGAATCCCTCTTAAAAGTCAAAGTTCTTTAGAATTAAAAATTTTTTAATCATAATGAGAGGGGCCACAGGTGGGACAGTCTGCTTTAATAGCTTGGCATGTTTCATTTTCTTTCAAAAAAAAAAGTTTTTAATGACTGTAAAGGCAAAATGACGATTTTCATTAGATTTTGTAATGATTTCAAATTAAAATTTTAATTAAGAAACGAGAATTTTTCTCATTTCTTCTTCATGTCAAGGGTATGCGTGCTGGGTTTCTTGTCTGACTAAGATAATGAATATATTTTCTATTTTTGTTTAAAATTTTTAATTTCATCAGTTAGACGTAGAAAGCAGCAAATTTTCTCTCTCTCCCTGTCTCTCTCTCTCTCTTTGTATACCTAGGCCAGTAATTGGATGATACCTGCTATGTTTTTATTATGTTATTAATCATATCCGCCTTGCTACTATGTTTGCCTTAATTGACTTAATTAGGGTAGTGAAAATAAACATAGCATCAAAAGTTAATCAATCTATTTCTAATTAAAAGTAAATTAATCTTCTCGCGTGGACTATAAATTAAAACATTCCCTCGCTTTATATGTAGGCGTAAATGATTGCATTCGCCTGACAATAATAAACGTGAGTGTCTTGCGAGATTGACTTAATAATAAGAACACAAGTTTTGTATACAAAGTTCTATTTTTTTATTTTTTTTTATTTATACTTGAACTGATCATCGAATCTCTGTGAATTTGATTTGAGATTATCTCAGAAATTTCCTATTGATGAAATCATTTCATAGTACTCTAGTATAGATACACTTTGCACGAGACATTATCTTTTCATTAACGTAATTAATTTATGAATGCTAGAATTATGCCGCTGGAATTAAGTGTTAAGAAATATTTTCTCATTTTCTTCGTCTTCTTCCAGAATGGTTGATTTCAAGGTACAGCAACGACGTTATCGTACCAGTGAAAAAATCATTGTCGGCACGACTTATGGACCGATCAAGGGTGTGAAGCGTAAAACAATTTACGGTGATTCGTACTACAGTTTCGAAGGTATACCGTTTGCTAAACCACCTTTGGGAGACTTACGCTACAAGGCTCCTTTGCCGCCGGATACATGGACGGAAGTACGAAGTTGTACTTCGGTTGGACCGAAACCTTTGCAAAAGCATTTTGTTTTTCAAATGACTGAAGGTTCTGAAGATTGCTTATATCTTAATGTTTACACCAAAAATGTAAGAGTTCTTTTTGTCCTTTCATTTTTTTTTTATATTCCGAACCGACCTTGATACAAATGCATATTAGGTTTGTGTCGATGTATGCAACAAGCAGAGGAACTTGAGGTTAACACACTTTTTATTATACCCATCTATAAAAAATCACTTTCTGAATCGAACTAAACTTGTCCGTCCGTCCGCCTGTCCTTGTGTCCGCCTGTCCGTCTTGTTGTCTTATGTTCATTTTACAGCTCGAAATTGTTAGAATATTTTGATGAAATTCGGTACACGATTCGGAACATGCTTTATTTTACTGAGTGGTTCGAACACGCTTTGTGAACCGCCTTTTGAAGCACCGTCTGAGTTGAAGTGGGCTTGTCATCAGGTCGGAATTTTTGAAGATACTTTGATGAAACAAAATACACCTTTAGAAATAGTTCAGTCCTGGACACTTTTCGACCACTTTCCATGTGAAGCCCTATTTTGAAAAATGTTTATATGAATAACTATATTTGTTTTGCAATTATTCTCACAATTTATTTTCCAATTTTTATTTAGCTGGAACCACATAAACCTCTACCGGTTATGGTTTGGATTTATGGCGGAGGTTTTCAATTTGGTGAAGCTACTCGAGATCTGTACAGTCCCGATTATCTGTTACGCGAAGAGGTCGTCGTTGTATCGATTACCTATCGCGTGGGGCCATTCGGTTTCCTTAGCCTTCAAGATCACGACATAGAAGTGCCCGGTAATGCTGGTCTTAAAGATCAAGTTATGGCTTTACGTTGGATTAAAGCGAATTGTTCAAGATTTGGTGGTGATTCGGAAAATATTACATTATTTGGGGATAGCGCTGGTGCTGCTTCCGTTCATTATATGATGTTAACTGAACAGACTCGCAATCTCTTCCACAAAGCTATTTGTATGTCAGGTTGCGCTTTGTCGCCTTGGGCTGTTACGCCTCAGCGTAATTGGCCTTATCGTTTAGCCAAAGCAGCCGGTTATACCGGAGATAATAATGAACTTGCGGTATTTGAATTCCTAAAACAAGCCAAAGGAGCAGAGATAGTTAAGGCCAATGAAGATCTCTGCACCGATGAGGAGAAACGAGAACGCATAGGGTTTTCCTTTGGACCCGTTATAGAGCCTTACCTAACACAGCACTGCGTGGTGCCTCAGCCACCTACAGAAATGATGCGCACAGCTTGGGGTAACACAATACCAATGATAATAGGAGGAGTATCTAATGAGGGTTTACTACTATACACTGGTAAATAATTGGGTTAAAAAGTAAAGAAAACTTCTACAAAACAAAAAAAAAAAAAATCAATTTCAGAAACAAAAAACAACCCAAAATTATTAAATGAATTGGGTGATTGTCGATATGTCGTGCCTTTGGAACTAAATCTGGATAGAGATAGCGAATTATGTCAACAATATGGTTATCAATTAAAGACAACCTATTACGGTGATAAGGAAAGCAGTTTGGAAACTTTGGATGAATATTTATTGGTACATAAGTTCTTTCATATAAATCGATCACTCAATAAGTTCATAGGATGGCAAACCTATATTGGGACTATTAATTGAATTTATCAATAATTATCCTGCAAACTTATTAAGCTTAAACTTAAGTTCGTGTGATGATATAATGCAGTCGCCAGTACTAATTGGATCCGTTAATAGTCATCCTACAAACTTATTGAGTGAGGTGTTATTCTAATTAAATTTTCTATTTAAATTTTTCTTTTTTTTGTTCTTGCTTACATTTTAGATGGTATCTCACGAGTATTTTTGGTTTCCCATCTATCGTACAGTATTATCACGTTTGGAATATGCCAGTTCGGCACCCACTTATCTATATCGTTTTGATTTCGATTCGAAGCATTTTAATCACTTACGTATTATTAGCTGTGGTAAAAAAGTTCGTGGCACCTGTCATGGCGATGATCTTTCGTATATATTTTACAATTCCGTTGCACGTAAATTGAAAAAGCACACTAAAGAATATAAATGTATCGAACGTTTAGTCGGTATGTGGACACAATTTGCTGCCTCCAGCAATCCGAATTATGAGAAAGATGAAAATGAATTATGGCTGCCAGTGACAATGGCTTCGTTAGAGAAAAATCAACTGAAATGTTTAAATATAGCCGACGACTTAAAAATTATAGAAGTTCCTGATATGGATAAGTTATTGGTATGGGAAGGATTTTACACAAGTAATCAGTTGCTATGATTACAAAGGATCAAAAGTATACAAATGTAATTAGTATAAGTGTGTATCTAGCTATCTGTGGTAGAGATACCCTTAAATTGAACAAAGTAAACTATTTTAGGAAATAACCCCGCCTGGATTTTCACCTGAGAAAAAGGTTTAGTTTTTTGAACCCAACGTAATTCGTTTATTAGATTGTGTTCTTTCTTTTTTATGGACACCGTCCACGTAAGCAAAACAAAAATACCAAAGAAAATTATATTCGACTATGGTCGAATCTCCTATGCCCACCATCGTTATCTTAACATGATATCGATAAAATTTTATTCTTCGATCTGCAAAAATTTCATCTTTTCGCTTCTGAAAACCGAACTGTCTTCACCTTTTAATTGATGTCTTAATTATTGCCATCAGGGGAATAATTATCCACACAAACCTATAAAGACTAGCAGACGGAAGGACAAACATGTTCAGATGAACTCAGCATTTGACGCTGATCAAGAAAAGCACGTCACTCAATAAGCGCAAAGGATGAAGCGTAGATGTGGGATGACTATAGGCGAAGCTTCATGCTTTTTACGTAGTACGAACCTTGAATCAAGAAATAGTACAACTTATGCACCAATGGTCAAGAAATTTTGACTCACTTTAAAAATTAGTGTACTAACTAAATATCATATATATTCGTTAATAGTGACGTGTATTTGTGATCTTGCGAACTTATTGAGTCATGTGAGCTTCCTGAATTACGCAGATCCTTTAAATAAAGCATAAAGTTTACATAAATCTTGGGTGAGCGCAACCGACTCTTTTCATTTCTTTACAGGATCATTTGTAAAAGCTTTTACAGTTTTATCTGGTGTGGCATACAAGTAATGGGACACCTATTCAGTTTACGTGTAACTGTAAACGCATCTTACAAACGATTTGATCTATTTTCGATACCAACTTGCGTACAAGAGCTTCCAATGTTTCTTTCGGAATTGAAAACGATAGCTTTATTTTATGGCCTCCAGAATGTTTACCACAGTCACAACACCGACGGACGGACATGGTTAAATCGATTCAGGATTTGATATTGATCAAGAATACGTATATATTTCAAGGGGTCCCTGAAGCATTCTTCTGGATGTTGTAGACGTTATGACAAAATATTTATATAACTTTATTTTTCGTAGAGCGGTGAGGGGTGTGATGAGAAAGAAAAAAAAAAACAGACGAATGGGGATATAAGAACTTTTGATGTATGGACTCATTTCTTGAAAATGTGCTCTTTATCGGAAAATTTCTCGGTTCTTCAAGATTTGTCAAGAGTCTTCCTATGACATTCTAAAGCAGGGCAGAGATATTATCATGCGGCGATTTGCGAAAGCATCCGGCTTACCTGCATGCTTATCTGACCTGAAAATTTTAGACTGTTTGAAAGTAAAATATCCGCTCATTTCATATTTCAGATTATTTGAATGCCTACCTGTTCTAAAGGCTTTGAATAGTTTCCAGGTAACACTTGTTTGAGGCGAATGAAGGTAAAGCTGCAAAATTCCTTACATTCGGATTTTTTAAAATGGTCGTTTGCATAAAGATTAAATAGTCCTTTATTTATAGGTGGACTTTATTATAATTGTAACATTCAAGCAATTACTTATGCCTTAGCGAAAACCAGCTTAGTGATAAGTACTTACCATCATAAGACTAACGCCTTTATTAAGAAAAGTGTTCTAGATAGTTTTCAGTGTAACATCCGTTACGAAAGAGTGCAAATTACTTTACTTAATTACAGGTCTAATGTTAGCTAGATTTTGGTGAGTTTCCTCTTAAGGTTAAAACATTTACTTGTCTAAGCTTACTAAGCTCAGTGAAAGATTTACATCGACTCTGTTTGTTTTCGTTGAAAAACAGTAAAAGGGCGTTTTAATAGGCCGGGGCTCACCATTATATATATACTCTACATTACTTCGCTTAATATAGTTATGCACATAACGACTGTTTAATATAAACCTTTATATGAAGAGTGATTGAAAAAGTCATCCAACTCAACCCATTTTCAATAGAGCTTGTCTTCAGGTCAAAATATGGAAAATTTCATGAAAATTTATAAAAAATTGCGGTCTGTAGATTGAATAAAAGGTTACATAGATAGGTGGGTAGACGGTCAAACGGACAAACAGACAAATGAAGAATCGAAAATAAAAATTAACGGACAAGCGTTCAAACAGATATTTGGGCAAATGGACAGACGGACAAGAAGGCAGGAGAGGCAGACAGATTAGCTTAGATCGATTAAAAAGATGTTTTCGAAGCGATTGGTATCATATAACTAAATACCCTTGTGACATAAGTGTTGTAGGGTATAATAATATTGATCACGGGATAACAGCGAATGTTTACAACTTATTATCATTCTTTCTCTATCACTTTCTGCTTTTCCTAGACTATCTGTTACAGGCATGGTTAAGTATTCTTTCCTTCTTGTTCCATTTAGATTTAAGATAAAAAAAAAAAAACAAATTAATTTATAGAGTAAATTAAATGAACATAACACCTTGAAAAGCTTTAAAAATATGCTAAATCAAGCCAAAAAGGCTTAAAAAGCTATTTACTATATAAAAATAAATGGATATATCCTTTTAGATAAAGCAAGCAAGTCTGCTCTTAATAACTATAATGAAAATAAATTTTTCTAAAAATATTTTAAACATATTTAAAATAAATTAAATGTTAAAAAAAGAAAGAACAACTAAAATTATTAAATAAAAATTCTTAATTGTTAAGCAAACATGTTAGGAAAAAACTATAAGAACATTTGAAAATAAATAAATATATAAAAAAAAAAATTTTTTCAAGTTGATTTGTATGCAAAAATTTTGTATACATAATAAATAAATTAGAAGATATTAAGCTTATTTATATGAAAAAAGAGGAAAAAAAATGTAGAAATTTAAAAAAGGAAGAAATCAATCAAATTGAAATATAACTTCCACTTAATTTTATAAAAAAAAAACCCTACTCCTACAGTCAAATATGTACATATGAGTGTAGGTAAATGAGAGAAACATTAAGTACCTTTGAGATATGACAGAAAATCATATAAATTTTTTGAATACAAAAAGAAAAAATAAAAAAATAAACATATGTATAAATATATATATGTATACGTATATTTTCTAATGTGAATGTATTCAAGCATAAGTAACAAAAATAACCTGCCCACCCCGTATATAGAGCCACAAATGTTTTAGTAAATAAATTACAAAAGAAAAAAACAATTAAATAAAAAAAATTGTCCTCAGTTTACTTCCTTGCATTATAGAATTCTTGTAGAATTTCAATCATATAACTACAGAATAACTAAATAAAACGTTTTTATATAAAAATTGTTTTCAAAAAAAAAAAAAAATTATTTTTAAGAATAAATTTTCTTTTATAAAATTCTGAAATAGAAACAAGTAACAAAACTATAGTGTGCCATATGCCACCTTTTAATACCCTACACCGCTTAATTATTCAAAGAATGTTTTTTTCAAAATAAAGCTTAACATGGAGAGTGGTTCGAAATATTTTCAATAGCGTTCGCCTCTGGATCAAGATTTCATTAAAGTATCTCAAAAATTGCACCCTGTAGTTTGAACACAAGATTACATGGACAGACGGACAGACAAACTTAACGATTAGTATAACAAAAAGCGGGTCTATCTCAGATAAATTTGGAAGTTGCATACACAAAACTTAATGTTACTCTTTATAATAACGGATGTAGGGTATAAGAAGGCAGTTCTTCCATTTTAAACTAAGTTAATAGTGCGCCACGACTTGGCGAAGCATCAAATTTCTTCAAAATATATCGGAAATTGCGACTTGAGTGCATGGACAGACGCATAGAAGGTGACATGGACAGACAAGAATACATCACAAGCTTTGAAAATGATTCTAGAACCAATCGTTAAAATGAAAGTTGATTGGATCTCAAGTCGTGCCAAGTGCTGTATATATCCGCACTAATTTATTACATGCTTGCGCCACAAGTGGCGTAGGTATAAAAAAAAAAAAAAAAAAATGAATAAATAAATAAACTTAACTGCAAAACTTGTCTACAAATTATAGTTTACGCTCACCCTACCAAGTTTAGCATGCACCGATACTATTATATATGTTTTTCTTTGCTTTTTTTTCAAACAAAAATTCCCATATGTTGAATACAAGTAATATTAAATCCTGGGATCTAATAAAGAAATTTAATAAATTTCAAAGAATTTTATTGAACAAAAATTCAAAAGAAATATTTTTATTTATTGTATTTAAGAAGATTTAGTAGATAACTTTTATATCTATTTTCATCGGAAGGTAGGTTAACTTTTTCACATTTAAAGTGACACTAAAAAATATGCTTTAAAAATATAATGTTCTTAATAAAGAAAGATTGAGATTAGTATGGTTTTAACAATTAAGGAATAACTAAGATTTGTGGCGGGCAGATGGTTCTCGATACTGAGTGGACTCGAGACGCGATAGTTGTAAATTATGTGTTTACTATAATGAATGCAGTGGTTACAGCTGTCGATAAAGTAAGCAATTTCCTTACTATCGAAAGAAAAATACTTCAGTCGTAAAAATCCTTCTGTCGGTAGACGAAAGCGAGGGATTTTCAAAATGAATGCAAATTGAACTTTATTTAAATTGCCGCAGCTATGCGTATCCCCCCAAGCCTGGATGGTCTGACACTTTATAATAATGAAATGGAGTTGTAAAGCTACTTCACCCATTTGCGATTCTTCTGCGTATGTGTATGCCATGGAGTTGTAAAGTTACTTCACCCATTTGCCATTCTTCTGTGAGTGTTTTGATTTAAGCAGAATTCTCCAAATCCCTAAAGAATACAACAGAATAGAATATTGTCTTCTCACAAACGCCCTAGAATTCACAATATTAGTAAAATTCTAAGAAGAAGTCATTTTTTTTCTTTAAGGCTTTGTATCAACACAAATAATGTTTGAATGCCATCAATCATTTATTGAAGGACAATTAACAAAAGCCAGATGACTTCTTGCCTAACTACTGCACATCAATCAATGTTACATGTTTCTAGGATCAGCAGAACACAATTGCAGTTACAAAAATGCCATAAACTAAACTAAAAGATACCTAATATATTTTAGACTGTTGAGTGTAAAAAATTCGTCTAAAAGCAGAGGCAACACATTTTATTATTTTATTTATTCTTTATTAATCCATTCAATTAATGCAATTATCGAAAAAATAATAATTCAAGCTGATAATATGTAATCAAATACATCAAGAGTAAACCTTATTTATTTACTCTTTTAATTATAGTTTATTTTTTTTCTTCTTTTTCTTTTCTAGAGAAGGTATGTAATGTAATCATAGAGCCTATGGGAGAACAATTTATAGTACAGTTATTGGAAATTTCAATTATTTTCTATACACAGAGTCGGTGAATAGTGTATATTTTGATTTTCTTACTCTAGTTATTACTAGGCTTAAATGTAACATATTACCTAGTGATAAGCTCTTATCAAAAATAACAACAACAGCGCTATCTTTGTGAACGATTTCAATATCATAATGTTTTGCTAGGATTACAGCTACCGCAGCAAAATCAAAAATGTGGTGTCCTAATACGAAGCGTCTCATTCTCGCCTCAGTCAATATTTTTTTAGGTATAAAAATAGACTTATGTTCGTATTAAAACGAAGCTTCAATAACGACCACCTCAATGTAGATTGAAAATAATAAAAAGCCGACGATCAACTCTACATCACTTCCCTTAAGTCATTTAATTTCCCAACAGTATACCGAAAATTATCCATTATTTTCATGTGAAGGACCGCTTTTCACGAAAGTCATCATATGACGGCTGCCAAAAATCTGAGCTTTAGGAAACTTATTCTTTTCAAGATCTTAGTACTTTTCACCTGTTTAGACTTCATCTACATAAAAGTGTTTACTTTTCCTTTCAAGCGTATCTATGATGGGATCTGAAGAATAGCCATACTAACTTCCTACGATTAATTCTTATGCTAAATAGATACTATGGACCAACTTCCATCATAGAATTAAATCTTTTTCCAAGGAAGGATAAACGCAAGTACAGTTAAATCGATTGCAAACCTAACATTGTGTAGTTCGAACACTAATGGAGCAATAACTGTGGTATACCCTCACCCTTCGGCGGCGGGTGTAAAAATAGAATTGAGGCACGATAAGGGTATTGTCGTTAAACAAACCGTCTCTTATAACGAAACGCCTCATGCCAAGCGAGCTTCAAGTTTAACTTACACAGTGAACTCTAGTGATAAAGCAAAGCTTTGTTTGGCTCCACAAAACGTTGATCGAGAGAATTTCAGCTTCCATAGATCGCAAAATAATTACATGTGTCTTTAGTTGGATTTAACCTTGAATACACTTTTTTCGCGTGGACTCCATCCTTTCTTTCATCTATCATGCACACGCTATTGAATCAAATCCAAAACAATTCTTGCCATGGAACCGTCAAACTTCATTATCACCATATATAAACACCTTGCTATAGATTCACCAGCTCTGTTAAATGACTGGTTTTTTTTTTTTTTTTTTGTAATTTTAAAATTTTATTCATTCATATTTAGCTACGACCTTGCCCTATCTTTCAAGCAATTTTCGAAAACCATCTCGAAAAAGTCTCTTCTTTAGACAGGTGACACACTGTTAGATACTGGGATATACGTCTCATTAAGCTCCTTATAGCCTTTTTGTAGCGTCAAATCTTCAATCGCTCTAGACCATAAAACCAAGCGCTGACCTAGTTTTATTTAAAGGGAGTCCAGCGTACCTATTAATGTGTAATCCTTGGCCGAATAATACCTCACATCAGCAGTGAATGAAAGTTTCTTGCATTTTTTTAGATTAACTAAGAAATTTTGTGAATTTGCTTGAATTTATTTTTATTTATTTAATAATTTTTTTCGATTCGATAGAAACTTTTCCAATAACCCAATAATTACTAAGCAAGAAAAACTTTCAAAGACAATTTCTAACACTGGCAACTGTTAAGAACATAGCAAGCAATGTACATGTTAGCAACAGTCTCATGTATCTCATCGAACGAAGGAAGCAACTATCAACAGCTATGAATGACGGTTAACGGAGCTGTTAACAGCATTGTTCATGCTAATAACATTCTGTTGCAAGCAACTATCAACAGCGATGATTGTGTATCTAAGCAGCTGATCGTTTTTTTTGTTTTGTTCTCTTTATATAGAAAAAACGAAAACAAAAAAAAAAACATAAAAAAAAGAAACGACACCGCAACCACAATAAAGAGTAAAGCAAGACGACGATCGATCTTGTTTTCGCATTTGTTTTGTTTGTTGTTTAGAGAAAGTCAACGTCTTACTTATGATATCTAATCTAAACTTTAAATTAAAATGAGTTTTTAGTATCGCTAGTATCGCTTAACGGTGTTATTATAAAATCAACGAAGCGGATAAACATAAAGAAGTTTTAATTAACGCAAAATAAATGACACACAAAGCAGCCGAAGATATGGAAATGCTTCGCCATAAACATAATACATTTCTATTAATGTCATAGTGACGTTGTGTTTGTTGTGCTTATCTGTTTATGTGAAAGAAAATCAATGCATAAAGAAAAGAGAAAATCTTTTATTAATAGAAAATAAAAAATAAATAAATAAATAAAAAAAATTTATACGAAATTGTTGCAGTGCAAGTTCAAAAATTAAATACATTTTTTTATTTAAAAAAATTAATCTAAAATGTTAGTAAATTTAATATAATTTTTTGCCAGTAAAATACATCCATTTTGACTTGAGATTTACGCAACAATCGAAACCGTATTTAATTCATCAATCATTCCATTTAAAAACACTGTAATATGTTTGGTTGAGGTATGTGCGTGTTTTGAATTGCTTAGTCGTGTTACAAATAATAATAATAATAAACATAAAAAAAAAAGTGCAAAATTCGTGAAACGTGTATTGAAACAAAAATCATGAGCAATCTAACGGTCTGGGATATGCTAAAATATACATTTAAGTAAGTTTCCCAAGAAAACGAGAGCAATTACAAATTTTGCTTATTTTTTTTTTTCTTTCTTTTTTTTTGCATTTTATTGCCATGCAATGCAAATTTATGATTGGACGAGGCATAACTAAAAAAACGAAACATCAAAGAAAACATTAAAAACAAAATATTTTTACATGAAGGTTTTCGCATATATTACGCGAACTAAATTAAGTTCACTTCAGCTCAGTTACAGCAAACACTTCATCGCTATGCTTAATAGTCCAATATTTGACCATAAGACTGTTCGTATAAATCTTACCCCATTTTTTTAAGGATGCAGACTATTTAGACGACTTTTCACAAGTATTTTGAACAGCTGTAGGTTATCGGTAAACCTAGTGCTACAAAGCCGAATCTTCCATTAATTTTACGAGTCTTTATGTTTGCTTCTAACAGCTTTGTGTGGTGAATGCAAGATAAGACTCCAAGCCTTTATACAATTGCTTCGTATATTGTATTGCAAGAGCGATAAATTTTTCTTTTATCAAAGACTTCCTGTTATCTTCTACTAGAAGTTGACACATTTACATTTAAAGATCTCTCTGGTGTATATAGTCTACAAGGGGATAAACAGAGACATTTTTGCGTAGCTGAAACTTGGGTGAAACCGAAATCAAAAGTTAAATTTTTCATGGCAGTTGACCGCTCAGACCTTTCATCTGACGCAGCGCAATTTTCGGTCATTTTCAATAGTTGTAGTAATTATATGAAAACACTTACGCTAACTAGCTTGGCCCATTTTCCAGGAAATCAATGCTCTTTTTTTTTCCTAAATGAAAGGTTCACCTTGGCCCGCATTGCCATGTTAAGGTTTCAATTATTTACTTGCATAAGAAAAGCTACATTTAAATACAGCTAAATTACTTCCAGCTACGAGCCCACTAAGGGACATGGTCTGGATTGATTAGGAGGGATGTTAATTAGTTACTCTGTCTAGGTGCACTGTGCTGCATATAAATAGGGTCACTTTAAAATAGACATAGTATGTCATCTCGTACTGACAGGCTTCAGAGATTGCTTACAAGTGCATCTCGTCAAAAACGACATATCATATCCCGTTGAGACGAGTTCAAGACTGAGGCGCTTATTTACTTTGTATCATAAAGAGACCGCATAAAGCATTATACAATGCAACGTGGTTCTTCTTCCCCAGTCATTAAGCCTACATACCACCTCTCTTTTTATATGGGAATGCTCACTACACGTGTAAAAAAATGACGGTGAGAAAAAAGCGAGAGAAAGACAAAGAAATAGGTAGTGATCGCAGTCTGAGAGATGGGTGCCCGATCTCCACCGATCCACCACCCGTTTTCGTTATAATCCAGCTATAAAAATTTGAATTAGTAAACAAGAAAAAAATGCACAATTTTTTAAAGTCTGCAATGTTCGACATACGATCTTCACGAGTGTGGCCAAACTGAGCCAATCTCGCACAAAGATTTGCGGCTGTTACTATAATCAATAATGTAATGGGTCAAGAATTTTGATAAATCTTTATAAAATAATACCTTGAAGACTAATTGGAAGCCTTGTAGGCATATATTTCGATCAAAACTTGTGCACCCTTACGTGTGAATGATCGCTTAATGGCGAGACTGAACTTTAAACTAAACGATGTTTATATATTTATCTTACGTAGTAATCTTTGAAAATCATTTTCCCTCTTCTTATGGAGACTCTTTTAATGAACGATATTCCTTTGTCGACCAACATTCGCTATTCTCTTCCTCTTGTTGTTTAAAGCTTTTTCGTCGCTTCTTCATATCATTATCATCTTTCTTTGTCAATGAATCGATCAATCAAATCGATCTTTGTATTTGCTTACTGTCGAGAGATGACTTAACAATGTTTAACATAAGCCCTGGCTAATTACTTTTCAAGGTTCCTTATATGCCTCCGCTTATCGTCGGTTCTTCATTTGATTATAAATCGTTGTTAATTTCACACTTATTAATAGCGTACATTAAAATGTTTATTGCACCGTTTTTTTCCATACTCGCTTCGTAACGATGTCGCAAATATGTGTGACCGGACTTTTCTTTTGTTTGTGTGGTTTTTTTTTTCCAAAATTAAAAAATAATAAACAAAATGATCGAAAGGTTAATTACAAAGTCAGAATAAAAAACAAAAAAAAAAAAAAACGCATTAAATAAAATGAATTTTATTTATGTTTATTTAAAATTCTAAAAGGTTTTAGTTTTTTTTTTATACGCTTACATTATTAGCCGATAGCTATTTTGTTACACGATATTTGCATGTTTGTTGTATTATTTAAAAAAAGTGTTTATCTTGTGCTTGTTTTGTCTCCTATTACATTTTTCCCAGGGCCTCGGGTTGAGATACAACTTTTTCAAGTTTTTTTTTTTTATTTTTCTAGGAAGGGGCTACCATTTATTTATATATATGTATTTATACGTATGTGTGTATATCTAATTCATTATTTACTTAATAATTAGTTTATTTGTAATTTGATGTAATTAAAACCAAATTCAGTTTATTTTTGCAAATTAGCGATGAAAAGTTTAATATTTCAACCATGAATACACAAACAACATTCAACGAGATGTTGAACACTTAGGGGGGAGAAGGCTGAACAAAAATGTAATAGAAAATGTAGTTTTTCAATCCAAGTTTTATTCTAGTTGCGGGAACCGCACACTCTTCGTCTTACTATGAAGAGAGTCACTGAACCATAGGTCAATAAGTCAGCCCTTTTCTTTGAAAGCAAAGTTTGCTTTGAATAGTAAGTAGGCCTCGTTTTTTCAAGTGCGAGCTTCTCTGTGGGCGACGATTGTGAAAGCTGTATGCCACAATTTGTGGTCGTGATATAAAGTGAAGTACCACTTACCTGTGAAAGATAGGTGGACAGGTGAGCCCATTTCTTTGGCAACAGATTTAGCTTTGAGTGGTAAGTGAGCCTTACTTGTTTGGACAGAACTTATCTGTAGTCACAATTTTTGGTCGTTGTATAGAGTGACATTTTTTGAAAGTAACATTTGCTTGGGAACGATGGGTGGAGGGGTGAAATCTTTTTCATATGTATGCAACACACATGACTTATAGATAGACACGCCTTTTATTATACGCATCGATTGAGAACCGTTTTGTGAATCGATTTAGGGACGTTTGTCCATCTGTCCGTCTTGCTTTCTTGTGACGCATTTACAGCAGTTATCGTTATATTGAGATAAACTTTAGTACGTTGACCTGTTTTGACCGAGTGACGAACGCTATTGAAAATAATTTGGCCTGGACTACCTTTTTGACCGCTTTCCATACAACGGCTTTATACGATATATGAACAACAGTAGGGTAGTCAAAGGTTTTCAATTGTAAATTGTGGATCACTACAGTGTTTTTATATCGGATTCTAATATAATAAGTTTGCTCGATGATCGACTGTCGACATAATTTGATTAGTTCAAAGGCAGATCATCATGCGCTGCACGTCAATATTAGGGGGTAAAAAAATTAAGCACCTGTATGAAGTGTAAGAAGAATTACTGTCGAATTATATACGGTTTGTACATAACTATGGTTTTCAAGAACACGTTAACACGTCATCAACCGCTGAGGGATATCATTAATCTAATTAGAGCTATTCTTCAAAGCTTAAAGTTCGTTAGTTGAAGGGGGAGCATGTGAAGGTGGTATAAAAAATATTAAAATGGCGTCGCGTTATGTTGGTACAATTTTCTTCATCCTTGGTTTTTTTTTTTTGTGGTTCTATTCCGCCTATTCTATTTCTTAGGTTCCTTAAGAATTCTTCGACTGAGTACTTTTCACTAATGATTGCAGTCATCAGCGATTACAAAGGTTAATATACACGTCTGGAGATGAATTAATTTCATCTTACGAGAAACAAACTTTGATCTTCAATAATTGTTGTTATTTACTAAAGCAAACGTGCCGATAGCTGTTAGATTCTAGTACTTCAAGATTTTAACCTTAGAAATTATTTTTCTGACTAAATTAATAATAATAATAATTAATAATAACAATACTAATATTAATATTAAAGCGGAAAAATTAAAAAAGACTAGTAGAACCGCTATAATGGGCTAAGGCCCACCATAAATTGCCCTACACAACGTTACAGTTATTCGTATGACGATTTATCGAAAGAAAGCGTTATAGGGGAAGTGGTCGCAAAAGTTGTCCAATCCAAGCCATTGTCAATAGCGCTCATCCTGTACCTTGAACATAAGATTACAGGACGGTTAGACAGACAAGCTTAGATCGACTTAGAAAGTGCTTTTGAATCGAACGGTGAGTACATCTTAAGTCCTTTTAAGTGTTGCATACATATGTATGCCTGCGTATAAATTATTTCTATACTCTGCAGTCTTTGCGATGCGAGGATATATTAAGTTCGTGCGAATGTATGCAACATTCAAAATGTTACAAAGGTTATATGTTATATGTATATATGCTTATATGTACGTATATATATAAAAAAGCGTATAAACAATAAATAGACAAACACATTACACAAACATAGAATGCGATTATTACCTTACATTGCATTGTAGACATTGCATTATTTATTATTTTATATACGAATATAATATATTCATCGTCATTATTATCATCGAAGCATACATATATATATATACATATATTACTTATTATTAATTATAAGATTTCCACATCAAAAACTCCGTTCGCATTGTACCCACTATTGAAAATTAAAAATATAAAAAACTTTTCACTTCATATGTAACGCGTGTAATCCTTTCATTGGAAACAGTAAAAGCTGAACAGCGTTATGATCAGTAAGAGATCTCACAATGTCTTGTCTTCCTATTCGCTTTTTTTTGGGCTTTTCGCCTGCTGTTAGGGACAGCGTTTAACCGAACTCTGGTAAATGTATTAAAACCCATTACAAGCCGGTCGACAAAAGCTCAATGCTGACCAGTAAAAAGTAACGAGCTAGCGAAATACTAATCGATAGATAGTGTTATCTGTTGGATGCACGCGCTATTTTGAAAAAAAAAAACCCAAGATTTCGAATCATTGTCGCCATTGATAAACAAGATTGCACTTTTATTTACTGAGTCTAATGCCGGGGAATATTATTATGCTGGCTTGGGAGAATATGGTTTTTCTATATGTACATATAGAGCTTGTTGGAGTAAATATATGCGAATTTAAAGACAATAATATTTTAATTACTCTCGCGATCCTCATAACTGATTGGTATCACCCCTTATCAAAAAGGCGTGATCACATTTGAGTTAAAGTTCACGAGCTTGCGGGAACGGCTCATGCAAGAAAATTTTTTTCGTTTGCATCGCACCACTAAAGAGAGTATGTAACTCACTAGTGGAACTAAAAAAAAAGACTTTGAGTCAAGTTGCTGCTGCATAGTTAAAGTTAAGACTAAAGCATAGCTTCGATCTGGTGATAAATAAACTGGAAACATTTTTATAGAGTGACCGACTACTTCATACAGTCGAATGAATATTATGGGGCCCTTAGCAAATCTATAGATGGATTAGCTGTAACTTGATCTGGCTAACATGCAGCAAAACGATTTTCATTTATCACCCTTGATTTCTTTACAGAACGGATAGTCACTGTCAACAATATATATATATATAATGTTCTGCATAAAACAAATGTCGCCTGCAAAGATGACTTAAGAGATTTTCATCTTTCAACCTTAGGCTATGTACAGAGCAAATAGCATTTGTATAACAGATTTGGGTTTATCAGCCTTAGAGCTCCTATCGAGACCGGAACCTATGAATAGCCAATAGGTGATTTTCAAGAACCAATCGCACAACCTTTAAACGTTTCGTTTCGTTAGATTTACCACTGAACACATATCGTCTACAAAATAATATTTGAACAGTTGTCCTGTAAAAGCCTTAGATTTCTGACAGAGCGACTATCGCCTCCAAATCATTATGTATATATAAATATTATGCAGACGTTCTTCCTGCATCGCTTGAAAATAACGGTTAGACGAATTCCGTTTGTTAACTTACCCTACAAAGCGAACATCGCTTACCAATAATATATGTTTGGCTTAGTTTCTCTACGCAGCGACAAACAGCGAGCGAACATCGCCTGCGAATATTAGATAAACAATTTGTATACACGAATTGTAGATTCTGAGGTACTAAGGTATATCGACTGCAAAAAAAAAAACCGTAAACGGTTTTCTTTTCATTACGTCAGATTTACTACCGAACGCATATCGTCTATAAAATAATATTTAAGCGGTTTGCATGTGTTAGTTGTAGATTCATTCAACTTTACATTCTCTACAGGAGGGACATTATCTCCATACAGCACTTAAGCGAATTTGGTTCGTTAACTTTACAAACCCCTCCAAAGCGAATAACACTTGCCAAAAAAACATGTAAACAATTTCGATTATTTATCTTAGATTCTCTAGAAAGCGATTATTATCTACAAATGAAAAGTAAACGATAGTATGTGACGTATAAATCTTACATTATATACAGAGAGTGAATATCGCCTACGAGTAACAGGTAAACGATTTTTATGTAATAACTTTATATGCTGCACAAGGAGAATATGACTTATTTAACATGGAAAAAATTGTAAAGCATTAGCTTTAGATTCTCTACGAAGCGACTATTATCTACAAATAAAAAGTAGTCGATAGTGTGTGAGGTATAAAGTCCCACATTATCAACATAGCCTAGGAATAACAGGTAGACAATTTTTACGTAATATACTGTACAAAGAGAATATGACTTATGTAACATGTAAGCAATTTTGAAGCATTAGCTTTAAATTCTCTAAGCTGCGAATATTGGGTTTGCCTTCGGGTTAAATGTTTACATTTCCTTTTATAAAGTCTATTATTAATGCACTTACTTAACCTGAGTCAATAATCTCCTCTCTACACACTATAAAATTTCAAAATATACAGTAACATACAAATCAAGTTATTACATAAGAGAGTAGTACATGCAATCGCCACCAGAAATTGCTTTAATTACTTGATTTGATTGAAAAATTGAAAAACCACTTACGCTTGAAATACTTACGTATGAGTACGAGAAACATTTTCCTCATATCAGTAATTTATGTACATATAGTGCGAACATTTTAAGAAAAAGCTCAAACTATTTATTTAACCAACGATTAACACGATACGAGATTTCTTAAGCAAACATATGATGACCGATTTATCCATTAAAGGACGGATTACATTAAAATCTAATTGGGATTGAATTCTTAACAAAGTAAAGATTGAATATAGGATAGATTCTCGCATTACGCAATTGCACATACAAGCGCTCTCTCTCTCTCTCTCCCCGTAATAGGAAATAGTTGCTTGCGCTGCTTGCACGTGTTTAGTGTAAGTAATGCTTGCTTGTCGTAATGAAAACAAAGCAAAAGCCGGCTGTTTAAGCATCAAACAAAAGAAAAAACAACAAAAAAAAGCAACAAAATGTGCGGAAAACCGGTTCTTAGTCCACATACATTTCGCTATTATGCAATGAAAAGGGGAATATGTCGAATTTTACCATAGAGAAACTAATCCATGTAAGAACGATATTTTTAACCACGTGATACGGGGTGTATTAAGCTTATGCGGACAGATGTAACAGTAGTACTTGAGATAGAGCCACCCAAACCTTTTTATGAAATATAAAAGAATTTTTTGCAAGTAAATACTCTTGGCTGTTGGACAACATACGCTTGGCATTATTATAAGCAAGGGTAAGGCCTTAATGTTCAATTCTCCTCGAGCTTGATATTTCAACCTGCAGATTGAAATATTTAATTATTTCATTTAACTTCTGGACTATAACTTGGGGTAACATTTGACCACCCCATCCACAACAGTTCTGCAATAATATGCTTTATACTCATTATGCAATCTTAGTCTGTCCTTGCCTCTTCGAGTTAAACAAACTATTGCGCATTCTTTTCCCAGGTGTCTTGTTAACAACGATCTTAAAGTCTTTTCCAGTTGCCGTTTATTAATCTGGAGAGGATTCAATGTGTCAACCGTTTTAAACGTTTTGCTTATAATGTCTCACATACATTTACAAATTCATTCAATTTCAATCGGTCAACCTTTTAATGGATGTTTCAAGATCTAATGGATACCCTTTTATGTATTAGTACCACATAGTTTTACCCCTTTTGACCGAATGATCTTTTGTTCTATGCCCAACCTTATGTTGGAATATTTTATCCCTCGCTTTGAAATCGTGCGCTGAAAGGAAATGATTACTGCGCTTATTATAGAACAAGGTGATTACATCAATAGTCTTTGCACATGATAATTAAATATCTAGTAGCTATGGATATTGGTCGATGGCTTTATAGTTGATAGTGAGCTATGGCCACATCTTCACTAAGGACTTTTCAAAGTAAGGCATTATATAGGAAGTAGTTGAAAAAGTAGACCAACCTGATCTATTTTCAATAGCGTTCGGTCTCTACATATTCATGTAAAGAATTTTATCGAAATTTTTTAAAAAGTGGTAACTCTGAGTTGAGAAGAGTTGAGTTGATAGAGAACTGACAGATGAACAGACATACTCAGATCGATATAATAAGAGTACTTCCAGTGGTCGTATCTACAGGCACGAACTGAACTTATCGAAAAAAATTTATTGCCATCTGTTACAAGCTTATAACCCTTCGGCTCTTCCTTGAACCGAAATAAATATTATATACAAGTTTTCCTTCAACCGAGTGAATGATTTCCTTTTTTTAGAATAACACATACACAGCGTACAGTTCTGCTGGCCCGTGATTTTTCCTGTTTGTAATTCACCGATAGAAAGCTGTTATTATTACCATTAATTTAACCTGAGAAATAAATTCTAAGACTAAAGTCTTAAAACACTAGCATCTAAGGCTGTCAGCTTTATTGAAAACTCTACCGCACTTGATATTTGAACCCGCAACCATTGAGCTGTTAATCGAGATTCTTTGCCTACTCGGCCGCAGAGGCGGACCGGATATTTAAACGAGTTGAGCAGGAAGGTCACTGCAAAGTGAAGCTTACGTGGATCACACGGATTACGCGGATTATCACGATCACACGGATTATCACGATCGTGTGTTTTATGAATTCTTCCGGCAGACTAAACTGTTAACAAGGAATGTTGCTATGATCTTAGTCGTTATTCGAGCTTACTTTCGAAGGAAAATGTGTTCATAGTTTTTTATTTGTTTCTTTTCCTTTTATTTATATTTTTAGGGCTTTGAATTACAAATTGCAACAGCATCGTCTGAACACTGGCGCTACAGTCGTTTTAAAGACTCTTACAGGTCCAGTGAAGGGTGCTAAACGTTTAACGGTATGGGGTAAAAGCTATTACAGTTTTGAAGGCATACCCTTTGCCGAACCGCCAGTGGGTGATTTACGTTTTCGTGCACCGGTACCCGTGAAACCCTGGTTAGATATATTAGATTGCACTGGCCCGGCAGCAGTGCCAATGCAAGCTAATATGTTCTTTCAGAAGCACAAAGGCTCCGAAGATTGTTTATACTTAAATATCTTTACAAACGAGGTGAGATTTTTGCTATTCGTTGCTTAATTATTAATTGAAATATTTTTTACGTAGATTGCCGTACCGTATTCGAAACGTCCTGTCATGGTTTGGATATTTGGAGGAGGATTTCAAATTGGCGAAGCTACCCGCGATATGTACAGTCCCGATTATTTTATGTCAAGAGATGTGGTTTTAGTTACTATCGCGTATCGTTTGGGTCCTTTCGGTTTTCTTAGTTTAGATGATCCCGCTGTTCAGGTACCAGGCAATGCTGGTCTTAAAGATCAAATTATGGCCTTAAAATGGATACAAGACAATATCTCTTGCTTTGGTGGGGATCCGAATAATGTAACACTTTTTGGTGAAAGTGCTGGCGGTTCTTCAACTCACTTGTGCATGTTAAGCGATGCGGCGCAAGGTTTAATACATAAAGCTATTATTATGTCGGGCAGCGTTTTATGTCCATGGACTTTATCACCGCCAAATCAATGGGCTTTTCGTTTGGCTATAGCTTTGGGATACAAAGGCGAAGAGAAGTCTCATAAAATTTATAAATTTTTACAAACAATTCCAGCAGCCACTATACAAGAAGCAGTGCCCTCCGTTGTGCGTAAAGAAGAAAAACATAATCGTATATTAATGGCTTTTGGACCTGTCGTTGAACCTTATTGTAGCGTTGGCAGTATCTTAACAGAGGATCCAAAAGATATGTTGAGCAAAACTTGGAGCAATAACGATGTACCTTTATTGATAGGTGGCACTAGCTTTGAAGGCCTACTGTTTTATCCAGAAGTAATGAGGCGCAAAGCTACCTTAGATGAAGTGGGCAATTGTGAGAATCTCTTACCTTTAGATCTACAAGTGGAACGTAAATCAAAGAGTTCTTTAGAAATGGCTGGTATATTGAAAACAACATACTTCGGTAACGAAGATTGTAACCTGAAGAATGTTATGAAATTTTTGGAGGTAAGAATTAAGTTGTCGTAACTTTTCTTATATCTGTCGCTGAAGGTTGAAGATATATAAGATAAAATAATCCTCAGACATGTGACTCAGGTATGTTTTTTACTCTTGATAATTGTTATGGGTTGTTCGTCCCTCCGTTCCTATGTACTTTCGATTGTCGGTTATTGTCGGCGAAACTGGTATGTCCGAAAAAGGTCGAAACTTCGCAAAACTCTTTCTCTCGCCCTGCCCACAAATCAAGTATGAAATCAAGTGCTTCGCTCCAAAGCAGACTACTTAAAAAATGAACGGGAAACAACTGGCCCAAAGTTGGGTTAAATTAGACGCTTCTTTAATAAATCTGCAAATAATAACTCTGTCTAAAATGTCTTGTCAAAAGTACATGTTAGTGGCATCATGTTCTTACAAATATAGAAGTTCCTGGTTCCCGAGAATGGCGTGATGCCAAAAAGTTCCAACCATCACAAGGTCAGTCATCGGTCAATCAATTTTTGTATCCTATTGTGTAGCGCTTGTGGTACAAGCGTAAATTAAATTCGTGAGGATGTACGCTATTCCCACAAGGATTTGAGAAGGACCTATCTTTTATTATAGCCATAAATTCAGCATCTAAGCTTTTTTGTACGTTCGTATGTCATGCTTTCCTGTGTTCAGTCTACAGACCTCAATTTCTGAGATATTTTGATTAAATTTTGTGCACTGACGTATTTGGCCCAAGGACCTACGCTATTGAAAACGGTTGAGAGCTGGCCACTTCTTCGACTACTTCCCATAAACCACATTGTTTTGAAAAGTCATTACATGAATACCTGCAGGGCCAATGGCCCGCTATAGTGTTTTTAGCTGCCTCTTTTTTTGCCTTTTACGCCTTGAAACATTAACACAAGCATAGGTTGATTGTTAAAACGTTCGTTAAGAATTTAAATGGACTTAACTCAAGCTATGCGTATTTAAGTTTTGGAAAAGGTCGAATAACAAGCAAATTGCATTGCATGCTTGAAAAAAAAGAATGACTTTCATTAATTCAAACACTAAAAAAAATATCATAACGTAACCTCAAAATGTCAACTGACATAACCACAACATCAAAAATGTAATGAAATTATAATTAATTAGAGTAATCAGCAGTAAAAAATATTTATCATAGCTAGAGTTTAGAGTTTAACTAATTAGGACGTAAATAATTATGTAGGAGTATTTAAGAGACACTTTGAGTTAAAATAATTTCCTTTCTCTGTTCATTATCGACAGTTGGAATCCTATAGAGAATTTTGGCATCCGATTTACCGGACATGTCGATCTCGAATCAAAAATGCTAAAGCTTCAACATATTTGTATCGTTTTGATTATGATTCACCGGACGCTAATGCCATGCGTAATTTCTTTTGTGGGCCGGAGATAAGAGGCACCTGTCATGGCGATGATCTCTGTTATTTATTCCGTTTTCTACTCTTAAATAAACTCAATGAAAATTCACCCGAATTTCATATTTCGCAGACAATGATCGATATATGGACCAGCTTTGCAACCAACGGTGATCCTAATTGTCCATCGTTGAAGCAAGTGAAATTTGAACCTCTAGCGCAGGAGGATGATATGAAATGTTTGAATATTTCCAATAAAATTGAATACATTCCGTTGCCAGAATTGGAAAAAATGCACGTATGGAATAGCTTTTATACAAAAGGCAAACTATGAATACAATCCGCTAAAGCTACCTCACAGATATATTTATATATATTTTTATACATATAATGTTAATAGTTAGATAATAATACATTATTTTTGAGAATATATTTTTACTTGTTTAATTTTCGTTTTCTTCTTTTCATTCATTTAATATGTAATTAAAATATTTGTGCAAGTAAATTAAGGGGCTACAATATAAATATGAAAATAAATAAAAAAGAAAGACTGCTTCTCATTTAATACCCATCACCGAAGGATAAGGAGTTTATTCAGTTTGTCAAACTGTTTGCAACAGCCAGAAAGAAGCTTCAGAAACCGAGTACACTATGTATATTTTTGAGCAGCATCCAATTTTGAATCGATTCAAGCGCATCCGTCCGTCCGCTCATTCGTCTTTCTGTCTGCGTAATGTCGCAAAAATAAAGTCATCGACTTCAAATTTATCACAAAAACTGAAAGTTCTTGCAAACAGGTGATTATTGGTCCAAATCGGTTAAAAGATGCGCCTGCAGCACCATGCAAGCTGGGAGCAGTTCGGTTCGGTACAAAAGCAATAAAGACTGCTTTTTTACTCATTACCCAAAAACATTGCAGCAGATAAACCTACAAAAATTTAAAATATATTCAACGGCTGATACTATACAATCTGTGCACAAATGAGAAAAATCGGCCAATCCTACCCATGGCTATACTATAAGAAAATTTAATTTTTTTTGTTTGAACATTTTTAACGCTCAGAACCAGCCGTCAAAACCTGGTCAAGTGTTAATATGGTTGACTAGTGTCGAATTCGTAGTGTACCTAAAATAATTCCGCCTCTTGGTCTATCCATCTGTCCGTTTGCCTAACTCTTTAGTATGTGCGGTAAACATTCTCTTCTTCGCAAAAATGAGTTATCGCCTAACAATTTGCAAAAGAATTTGAAAATGATCCAAACTGGGCAAAGGACACGTCTACAATGTACCAAAAACTAACTTGCTGTGTTGTTTCCTCGTTACTCAATAATTATAGAGGACCCATGATAGGAATATCCCCTTTTATTCTCCAAAATATAGAAACAATCAGCCACGCCCACCCAATATTTTAGAGTATGGAGATAAGTTTTTTCCTGTTTTTTTAGTTTTTTTAGGGTAACGGTAATGGGTATAAAAAATACGGTCATGATCAGATATAATTTTCTTCTTTGTTATACGCTACATCACTTGGGTGTATTAAGTTTAAGAAAATATATGCAATAACCAAAAGAACTTGGGATAGATGCACTCTTTATTATACCGATCGATTCGGTATCATTTTCCGAATCGATCTAAGCTTGCGTGTCGGGCTGTCCGGCTGTCCGTCTGTTTGTGTTTGTTTTCTCGATACACTGATATGTTTCGGACCAAGGATGAACTTTATTGAGAATGGTTCGAATAGGATAACTGGTTTATGAGTAATTGTAGGATGCTGTAGCGTATTTAACGGCAGGCTGCGCTCAATTATAGTGAGCTTTTAATTGTTTTATCATGAAGTCGCCTTTAGTTTTGCATAAGGCAAACGATATTATTGACTATTCATTGCTGATGACACTTTACATTTATAAGTAAGTTCACGCCTTCCAGTTCAATTTATTAGAGAGATAATTTTTGGTATTTTTTTTTTTTTGTTTTTTTTATATATGTAGTTTTTATTTTTATTACTTTTTGTTCTTGTATCCTGCCATGAGGCATTTTCATAAAATTGAAATTAATTAATGTTCGTGTTCATTACGTTTAAATTTTAAAATCTTTTAAATTTATTTTATTCGCATCAAATTTATTCGCATTTTATGCCAAAGGCATTTTCTGATAATATTAAACGAAAGAAAAAGAGATTATGATCGCAAAAAAAAGTGTAATTTTATTAAAATAATAATTATTCCGGTTATAGAGTGAAGGTGCAAGCTCTTGGTTGCAGCGGTTGCTTAAATCCGAACGTTATGGAAAACCGTAATAATAAAAACAAAATTTTTGTACAAAAACTTTTTTCCCCTTTCTTTTTTTTGTTAAATGAATGTCGGTTTCATTTAAAATTTATAGGTTTTAGTTTTTTCTACGATGCGGTTTTTTCACGACCTGCAATAGCTATAGCAGGATGTGTAGTAGTAATAGTATTAGTAATCATAAAATGTGAACAATTATTTTCTATTAAAATATATTATAATACTAAAGAAGCGATTTATAGAAAAAGGATAAGTATATTAATTGTAGTAAGTGAATTAAAGGTAACTTGATGCCGGTGACTATGCTATCTTTTCATCTATAGCACTTGGGAGAATACTTTACAGACTTGTAAATGTATTGCTGGTGAAGAAAGATTCCTAAGTTGATTCATTTTCTTCTTTCTTCTTTGGTCCAACGGTCTGTCGTCTATCACTAAAAAGCTGACGGTCCAAGCCATGCAACGAAAATACTGTCACTTCTAACGAACACATTGGGCTTCTGCGCGGCCCCTTGCTACATTTGATTGACAGAAAGCCACTGATGTGTTTTCGTTATCATCTTAAGGCCGCCTCAACAGAACAACGCCGGTAGAGCTAGTAGTGCTACTTTGATAAAATCCTAAGTACTTTAAAATAAGCGTACATTCTTAGTCGTCCAAATATCTATCCTCTTACGTTCACAGTCACAGAAGGAAAAGACTTTAACTTTCAAATGTCACCTGATGTTGGCTTAAAGCTTGGTGGAACTGTTTATAGAAGCCTTCTAAAATTTAAGGGCTATATAAAGGCTCCTCGCACAACCATATCTACAGAACTGGACTTTAATTTAGTATGCAGAGCATATGTCGATCGAAAATTTAGAAAAAAAAATATTGTTCGTGGGAATTAAAAGGCTCGGATCAGCAATCGGACACATCCACCGGTTGTGAGGATGAAAGTTACAAATTCGTCTTTGTCCCACACCTAGTTTATAAGCAAGGTTTTTTATTTGCTTTATTCTTGATGCATTTTACGTATGACAGAGGAGCTTATGAATTAATATATGGGAATGAGAAGGTGTTCGTCATAGGGATACTTTGTTTCGAATATAAGGTTCCTCATTATGTTGATCGAAAGTACCGCTTCAAGTAAGCCGATGTTCGAATTTCGGACACGGTTTTTTTGCTTCGCATTTTCCGTAAAATTTGCTCTCTTAGCTGAATGACGTACGTTCTGTCCGGAACTGTACGATAGACACATTAATAATTTGTCGTCATCAATAGTAAATTTAAATTGTGGTAAAACGCGACATGCTGTAGTAGGTATTCAATATTGCCTGTGTTCATATGACTATGTTTAAAATCAGCAAACCAACCACAAGTTCATTTTTTCGACAGTCAAGAGTCGTCATAATATCTTTAAGCCAATTTTAATTATTGGCGGTAATTTTTCTCATCAAAAAGCAATGTTTAACCAACAAAGGAAATTCAGAATCTCTTATATTCCATATATAAGTAATGTAGTGTTTATAATATATATAATAGAGTACAGTATATATACCATCCTATGTACTATGGCAGGCTGTACTACATACTAGTACAGTGTATATCCTATATACTATACTAGGCTGTACTACACAATATACTAGTACTAGTGTACAGTATATAGTATGGTATAGCGCAGCATAGTCTACAGTATAGCGCGGGGTATATATAGTATAATATAATATATTTAGAATAGTATATAAAATAGTGCGTATATATATAGCATAGCATATTGTGTAGTATAGTATATAGTATAGTATAGCGTCGTATAGTATACATTATAGTACGGTCTATACTATACGTTAATGTAGTATAATATACATAGTATAGTATAGTATAAATTTGTTTGTATAGTATAGTATATAACATGGTATGGTATATAAATACGATTCGTAAATAACAAATGTCGCTTTATCTTGCAATTTCATAATATGTCGAGAAGTATCGTTTGAATGTTGCTACTATCGAGAAGTCATATGGATTTGCCAATATCGGATTGGAAACTTATTGAATGGTGTGTGGAACATTACGTTCTTAAAAGCCGTATATCATATTTCATGGGATACCTGGTTATAAGGCTGAGGCGAGATGTGAGGCGAGAATAAATAAAACAAATTTCCCTTTAAGAATCTCACTTCCGGTTCCACTTATTCTTTCAGTTGCATTTCTCTTAAAACAAGAAATTAATTGTTTATTTTAATTTTTTATAAACTTTAATAAAAAGAAAAAAAAAACGATAGAACAAATTTTCTTATTGGTTATGGTTGCACTTCTATTCGAAGAGATGGTAAACTGTGTATTTTTGTTTTTCTTTTATTAAATTTCTCGTTTCATTCTCTAGGTACATGCATATGTGTTTATTTATTTGTCTGGCAATTGCTTAGACAAAAGCAGTCTTTATTGCAATGTTTTTTTATAGAAAACAAAAAGACAATCTTAACGTCCTTTATATGAGCATTGAAAGTTTTCTCATTACAAGATAGTTTAGATAAAGTTATACCTATGCACACACAAGTCGACACACGCACACACATACACACACACACACACACACACAAACATTATAAATGAATGATACGTTAAGTCTCTCAACTTTAACAATAATAGTTTGTTTGTATTTGAGCATTTGTTTGTCTATTGTCTTCGTTTCGAGAGAATCAAAAGCAAAAAAAAAAGAAAAAAAAAAAAACAAAAAAAAATGCGATAGTCTAGCGATAAGAAATAAATATATTAGGTAGATGGGAAAGGTGTGACTGTAATTGGCATCACCAAGGTAACAAACACTTATTCGCTAACAGGGTACAACAACGTTTCATGCAAATTCTCTCTCTTGCTCATCAAAGGCAGCTAAAATGCTAATGTTCGATTAACGAACTCAGTCAACTTCACTCCGCAAACTGTGGGAAAGAAAAAACAATGACTTCAAAGCTTCTACCAGAGTAGCTGCGGAATGAGAGAGAGATTTTTTAGATAAAGATAAAGCCACTTATCCACACTGTGTGGCTTATAGACCTAATTCACTTTTGTTTTACCTTACGCCCTTAGGTAACTTTTGTTTGAAGAAAATAATGCTTTTTCTACGTTTGGAGGCTTTA